TATATTTTTGTCTAGTGCAGAAGATTTGAAAACAGTTTGAAACTATTAATCTCAGCATTAAAACATGATAATATTAGCATAAATCCAAATAATAACAATGACAACATTAGAATTAATATGAATAAAGATAAAAATAAGTCAGAATATTCTGTTGTTTTCAGTAAAGCCAGATTCTTGGTGAACTCCAGTGCTTGCATGGATTAGTTAAATTCCATCACCTGATTTAATGTAATGAAAGACTGATTAGATAAGCTACAAATGGCCACAGTAAATACTGGGGTTCCTCCAGGAGAGCTTTAGAAATGGTTAAGCTAACTCCCACACATTAAATCACAGTGGGTTGTTTATTTGTTTATTTGTATTTATTCTAATGTTTACATCATTTTCTCAGATGTGCGAAGACTTTTGCACAGCACTTCATGATGTTTTCATCCCACAATCCATAAACATGAAGTTAAAGTTAGCTTCTTATTCGAATTTTCCGTTCCACCTTAAAAGGTACAGCAGTCACATTAGCACCTAATGCGCCTGAATGGAACTGCTGCACCATTTAAGGTGGAACGGAAAATCACAACACAGTTTGAACTGCAACTTTGTTAGTTTTGTCTGTTTAATTTCAACTGTTTGTCAGTTTGCTCAGCCAGTTGTTTAGTAATATGTACCATATATAAGCTGATCACAGGTACCTACCTCAGTCTGAATGACTACCTCCTGTGGAATGAGCTTGTATCTGTATCTGTTGATGTGAATGAAGAGAATGAAGGTTCTTCTGCTGCTGTTCTTGTTTTTCTCGAGCTGACCAGCTCCTCCAGGTTGAATGTGGGTGTGCCAGTGTAATTTGGTCAGAGTAAAGTGGAAGAGTGAGTCTGGCAGGCTGAGCCAGAAGCAAAGATGAGTCAAGAGCAGTGATTGGTCTAGAGCAGTGATTGATCTAGAACAGTGATTGGCCTAGAGCAGTGATTGGTCTAGAACAGTGATTGGTCTAGAGCAGTAATACAAATGAAAGAGAAGTTCAGCAAAATTAATGTAACAGGATTTACAGGGATGGATGAAGTAGGTTTCAAATACTACAGTTCCCCACTTTCAAATACTACAGTTCCCCACTTTCAAATACAGTTTCCCCGCTGTACCCCAAAAATAATAAATTAGCAACAACAAATTTGGTGTCTGAAGTTTGCTTCTTTAGTTTTACCACTGGAGCTGTGAGGCTAATGTAGCTAATAAGTGATGGGAATTTTTCCCCCATTTTAGCTAATTAGCAACTAAAGTACACAAAAAAATTCAGGCCAAGTAGTTAATTAGCAACTAAAATATATATAAAATTTAGGCCAATCAGCAACTAAAGTACAGACAAAATTCAGACCAATTTGCCAGTTAGCAACTACCAAAAAACTTCAGGCCAAATAGCTAATTAGCAACAAAAGTACAGACCAAATTCAGGCCAAACAGCTAATTAGCCAATTAGCAACTAAAGTACAGGCAAAATTTAGGCCAATTAGTGACTTTGGTACAGACAAAATTCAAGCCAATTAGCTGATTAGCACCTAAAGTATAGAGCAAAAAGCAAATTAGCACCTACAGTACAGACCAAATAGCAAATTAGCGCCTACCGTACAGACCAAATAGCCAACTAGCACCTAGAGTACAAACTAAATAGCAAATTAGCATCTACAGTACAGACCAAATAGCCAATTAGCACCTACAGTACAGACCAAATAGCCAATTAGTAACTAAAAGTGCAGCCCAAATTCAGACCAAATAGCAAATTAGCCAATTAGCAACTAATTAGATGCTAAATTTAGCCCAATTATTGACTGAAGTACAGACAAAATTCAAGCCACTTAGCCAATTAGCACCTACAGTACAGACCAGATAGCCAATTAACCAATTAACAACTAAATGCAGGCAAACTTCAGGCCTTAATATGGCGGCTACTTCAGTTAATGTGCTGTAGTCCATGTTTATGAATAACAGTGAGTCATACAGTGTCAGAAACCACAGAATCAGATCTGTCAGATACTGAATGACACATGGTTTGAGGCCAATGTGCTGCTACTTCCATTGCTTGTTAACTACATTGGCATCATAGCTCGAGTGCTAAAACTGAAGAAGCAAACTTCAGACACGAAACATGTCTTGGTTGACTCGGGGTAAGAGGGTGAATTCGTCTAGTTATCTTATCATTATAGCTGAAAAAGTCTCTAAATTTGCTTTGTTAACTTTCCTGCTGAAAAGACCAGCACAGACCAGTACAGCATGAGTTCCATACTGGTCTAAGCTGATTTATGCTGGTGTGGTGCTGCATGACATAAACAAACTAGCAGTGACGTATCTGTTTACAGGGCTGACGGCTTATTACAGATTTCAGCATAAAAACAGAAGTGCACTAGTGGCTGCGTCCCAAACCACATGCTACCATGTTAGATAGGTCAAATATAGTACACCAACATTAATAGTGCGCTCATTAATTTAGTTTGTACTGTTGTTTGTGATTTTTGATGCAGGCTATGACAGTTCCTACACTGGGACACAGCAGAAGATGTGAGGACCCTCGGTTACGTACGAGGCTAAAGGTGAGTCAGTTTCAGGGGAGCGTGGCCACCATGGATATACATACCTAGATGCCGCATTGGGTCCAGTCAGGCACGTCAACGGCGCCGCCATTTTAGGGCGGTCAACATCGCTGCTGGACTGCGTTCAGTACCATTACAGAGCGGCAGTTTAAGAAAGATACTGTCCAAAATTACACTATTTCAAGAATATTGCTCTCAGAAAGTGGGACAGGATTATATAACGGAGGGAACGCAGTGATCCACACTCATGTTGTGTGATGTTTATGTGTAGATATGGCCGTGTGGTTAATGAGGCACAGAGAGTCTGTTGATGTGATTTGTGATGTGATGTTTCTTCTGGTTTTATATTAAAGTTATTTCATTTAATAGTCTATTCAGGGAATCCTAACTTTATGTAGTTGTTATTTATTTACAGAGATGGTTAAAGCTTTGCAGCTCGGTAAATTATAGCTTCCTTAACCCATGTAGATATTCATAATAGATTAACGTTAGCATCTTCGTACACAAAGCTGAATTTAGCTTCTTGTTTGCCAGTTTCTTGTTCGAATTTTCCTATTCCACTTGAAATAGTGCATCAGCCAGCTTCTTGTTTGAATGTTCCCGTTCCACCTTAAATGTTGCAGCTTCAGGCACCAGAACTGCACCATTTAAGGTGGAATGGGAAAACTAAGGAGAACCTGGCGAATAGGAAGCCAACTTCAGCTTCGTCCTTCTTACTGTGTTTTGGGGGGTTTATTTTATTTTTATGTGTATTAAGATTAGAAGTGATTCACACAATGATGGATTTGCTGATGTGTCTGATTGTGTTTCTCGCGCTAAACTCAGTTTTTAACATCAGGTGCAGACTGAATGCTTTCCTGCTGGTCCGGACGGCCAATTAGTACGATCAGTTATTAAAGTAATAGCCCGTGCAGCCTGGATTAATCTGTGTCTAAAGATTATAACAAATCAGATTTGGTGAAAATCGGTTGAGTAATAAGGAAGTTGTGGCTGATTTAATCCTGAGACTCTTCGTCTCTCAATACGAGTGAATCTGTTCACCAGCAGATATTGACCGCTCCAACATGGCGGACGCGCAGACGTATCGCCTCAGATAGAGAACAACAGACAACGCAGCATCTAGATATGGATATCTATGGTGTCCAATTCAAAAACATGACAGCTAAACGCCAGAGGGCGCCAGAGAGATAGTCCTAAATGAATGGGGGTGAATAGAGCTAAACGGATACTAATAAAAAGTTACAATAATTCCTGACCACTTGTCCACGATATTCCTTTAATTTTGGAAAGTAGAAGGATGTATTTCATTGGCTGAGCGAAGCTGTTGGGGGTCATGAACGTACATGAGGCTCCATTATAAAGTCCTATAACTGGAGTTTAAAAGTGCCCAAAAATATAACAGCGGTGTTAAAATGTTTTACGCTGTTCTGCGTTCAGTAAATTAATGTATTCTTCTGTATAAAAATGTTTAAACGTTTACAAAGTGTGATTTTGCTCAAATGCTCCTTATAAACCCATCCATTTTAGACTTGCTAGTGAGCGCCCTCTAGCGTCTGACACCCATTCTCTGGCTTCCAACTCGCTATTGTTAAATTTTGCTAAATCAGTGGAATTCCCCTTTAGGAAATTAACTCAAAGATCAACTACAGGCTGTGCATGCACGATAGAAGACTGGGCACTATGAGAAAGGTGGGAAAAAAGAAGTAATTGCCTGACACTGATCATCAGAAATCTTTTTGACTTTATCAAATTTAGCACCAATTCTATGAAAACAGGGCTGGTTACAGTGAGATATCACACTTCTGTGCGAGTTAAATTTACATTTATGGAGTAACCTATATTTTTGTCTAGTGCAGAAGTCATGAAAACGGTTTGAAACTATTAATCTCAGTAATAAAAACACGATAACATTAGAATAAATACGAATAATAACAATGACAACATTAGAATTAATACAAATAAACATAAAAACACTTAAAAATAGTCAAAACATTCTGTTGTTTTCAGTAAAGCCAGCTTCTTGGTGAACTCCAGCGCCTGCATGGATTAAATTCCATCACCTGATTTAATGTAATGAAAGACTGATTAGATAAGCTACAAATGGCCGCTGTAAATACTGGGGTTCCTCCAGGAGAGCTTTAGAAATGGTTAAGCTAACTCCCACACATTAAATCACAGTGGGTTGTTTATTTGTTTATTTGTATTTATTCTAATGTTTACATCATTTTCTCAGATGTGCGAAGACTTTTGCACAGCACTTCATGATGTTTCCATCACACAAACCATAAACATGAAGCGCCAGGATGCACCATTTAAGGTGGAACGGGAAAATTCGGACAAGAAGGTGCCGAATAGGCAGCTGACTTCAGCTAATCAGTGTAGCTCACTTCGTAGGGCGCAACGAGTCGATTTGGGACGCGGCCACGCTTATCCCTAAACGACTTTTCCTGAAACACAGGAAATCCAGCCTACATGCCTCATCCAGCAGAAACGGAGCAGCAGCGACTTTATTTACCCCGGATTTTTTAAACAAAGCGACACGTAGACGAGGCGCTCTGCCCCTTTACTCTCTGAGCTCCAGGCTGCTTCACCCCTCCGCCCCAACACAATGGAGTCTCTCCGCCATCAGCGCCTCCAGCCCGGGGTTAGCGGGACCCTGCGCGCCTCCCTCCGGCCTGGAGTCTCCCCGGGCTCCCGCATGTCCCCCCAGGCTCCGCCGGGCCCTCTGCCCGGGTGCTCTGGGCCTCCGCCCCCGCTGCCGCCGCTTTCCAGCCTCGGGGCTGCGGGCCTGGGCTCCATGGACATGGCGGGGCTGGGGTTCGGGCTGTGCAACCCGGCCAACACTACCAACCCGGCCGTGCTGAGGGAGGCCGTGGACGCGGTGGTCCGGAGCTTCGCCAAACACACTCAAGGATACGGCAGAGGTACGAGACCCTGAGACCCCCAGACCCAGAGACACTGAGCACTGCTGCAGCCGGAGATCACACTGACCCCCTTTATCTAGAAACCCAAAAAAGATGGTTCTTCAGTAGACAGTGGTTCTGTATAGAACCATGAACACTGAAAGAACCTTTTGCATATGTTTTGTATATGGTTCTATATAGCACCGAAAAGGGTTCTGCTGTTGTTACAACAGAACCATAAACAGCACGTTCTCCATCAGTCTGAAGAACGATTTCACCATGCAGAGAACCATTTAAGCATGCAACTTATTGTTCTAAATAGAACCACTCCCTATACTAAAGAACCCTTGAGTAACCAGTGTAGTTATAGCCAGGCAGATACAGTTGTTTGCAAAAGTTTGTGCACCCCTGGTCAAAATCTATGTTGTTAATAATTTATGCAAATTTTAGTGCACAATTCCTATTTTATTCTTATGTATATATATATATATATATATATGTGTGTGTGTGTGTGTATATATATATATATATATAATGTGACCTGTGCAAAAGCTATGGCACATCCTATATTTTTATTTTATTTTTAATTTTTTTCTGATTATGACTGCGTGATTGACAGGTAAACTGAGAGACAGGCAGGCAGATGGAGAGATAGACAAGTGGACTGAGAGACAGGCTGACAGAAAGAATGTATGTGGTAGGCAGAGAGAGAGACAGACAGGCAGACTAAGAGACAAATGTCTGTATGTGTGTTCGACCCCTGGTTCCTATCACCACCACTGTAAAGACACTTGAACCATTTCACTTTGTTTACATCTCAACCACTGAATTCTGGAGGAATTTTGAGAAATTGGTGGAGGTCCACCTGAAGCAGCTGGATGTCACACCTGTGTTGCAGTCTGTCTGCTCTGTACAGGTGTTGGCTGTCATGCTCTGAGGGCTCTGACACACCTGACTGAGCTACAGAGAGACTTCGCTGGTGAGACTGAAACACAAAGTTCAGGTGGAACTAATAGAGCTGGAGCTGGAATCACTGATTCAGCTTGTATTAGAACAGGTAGAAAACGGTCTGATCTCAGGTAAGCCCTCAGATGAGGATCGTTAACTAAGCAGGTGTGCTGGGGCAAGTACATAGCACTCTGCGGGGGGTGGGGGTGCAGGGGTGGAGCCGGGGGTTCCCTGTTTCAGAAAGCTGGAAAACTTAAACCACAACTGAAGACTAACAATGCAGTTTGATGATGCATCACGAAAAATAGACGTTCGGTTACTCACAGCACTGAACGCAGCAGCACTTGAGCACCAGTGTTCACAATCAGCCAGCAGGACCAATCAGACCTGACCAGCATAATCAACAATTAGCAACAACATGATTACAGTCATCAGTCTTCATTCCAATTTGGTTCAAAATATATATGGTTCTCTATAGCACCAAAAAGGGTGAAGAACCCTATTTCACCATGCAAAGAACCATTTAATCATGCAAATAGTTCCTTGAGTGTTCATGGCTCTGTATAGAACCATTGTTTTTACTCAAGAACCCTTGAAGAACCATCTTTTTAAGAGTCTCTGATTTACCATCTCTCATGCTGACCATGAAAGATGGTAAATGAGAGACGCTTGGATGAGATGAAGGGGCGAATCAGTCGTACAGATGTTATTCACTGTATCAGTATTTCAAACAGCTGTAACTGTCACTGTAACCAATATTGGTGTGTAGCAGTAAAATCTTAGCCTGTGCTCCTGTTCTGTCTCAGTGAACGTGGTGGAGGCCCTGCAGGAGTTCTGGCAGATGAAGCAGTCTCGTGGTGCTGACCTGAAGAATGGAGCTCTGGTGGTGTACGAGATGGTTCCGTCCAACAACCCTCCGTACGTCTGCTACGTCAGTCTGCCTGGAGGAAGCTGCTTCGGGAGCTTTCAGGTAAATTTGTAATGCTGGCTTCACTCGGCATTTAGTTGTTGAAATTTAAACGAAACTAAATTTCAGAGGCACCCTGCAACTTGCTTGAAACTCAGCCGCAACAGTTGCAAGCACCTCAACTTCATGAAACAACCAATCAAAAAGCAGATAATGCATCATGTGATTATGTTGAATGACATCACTCTAAGTAATTGTTTTTCTTGAATTAATTACCAAGAAAATAAAACAGAACGTAGTTTATTAGATAGATGCTCAAGTTGCATAGAAATTATGTTGCATACACCTCACAATATGCAACTAGTTGAGAGCATGCATGAAAGTTTCAGTGTGTAAAGCCAGTCTAATGCTAATTGTGCTTGGAGCTGAGTTTGGGTATTGAGAACCGATTGAGGGCTCAGTCCTAATCCTGAAATGATTTAAATTCTTGGTGTTTTGTCTTCTGTGGGTGGATGAATGAAGGTGCTGTGAAACAACAGCGATTAACATTTCTCTTTGTAATAACAGAAGATGGTTTATTAGATAGTTCAAAAAGAAGATCCTCCTGATTTAACTTTGATTTTTAGGTTTTTCATTGTGCTGAACCAAAATGAAAACGTATTGAGCTCTAATACTTTATTCTTTCTGCACTTCGTTTTTAGCATTGCACCTTTAATAAGCTAATTATAATAACACTTTACTTTTTTTATTTTGCTTTTATGTACTTTTTACTTCCTTTTAATCATCTGTTTTATTTCCTTAGGGTGCTGCACTTTGTTCTCTGGTTTCTTTGACAATTTTCAATGTTTCACTGTTAATCCAACAATGTGTACTTTGTTAAGGAAAGTGTTTATCCTGAGTTTAATCAGCTCTCCTGGAGGTTGAATGCTAGCACTGTTACCTCATGGACTGACTGACAGATTGCAGATGGAGATCAAACCCCCCAAAAAATATATTCCAACCAAGTTCTCAGAGACACACAGGTTGGTCCATATTTTTGCTCAGTCCCAGATCCTGACACACCTGGACCAAGCCATTAAGAACACTGAGGACCTGCTTCAGGTGTGCTGGGAGTTGGAGTAGAGTAGAAATGTGGACCAATTTCGAGGTTTCTGGGAACCCAGAACAGCCAGAAGAGTCTGTATGTCGATATGTGTTATAGCAATGCGTCTTAAAGTGATTTCCTCCATCATTTTATCTGATCTCACCAGTTTTGTCCAACGAAAGCCGAAGCGCGACGGAGCGCAGCCAAAATAGCGCTGATGAACTCCGTCTTCAACGAGCATCCATCCCGCCGCATCACAGACGAGTTCATCGAGAAGAGCGTGTGTGAAGCGCTGGCCTCCTTCAATGTGAGCTGCTGTCCTTTATACGGAATAATATCAACTTTGTTTGTTTTTGCATTTGTCTTTCATATCTAATCTTACTGTTTTCAATATGCAGCCAAAATGACTGTCTGTGAAAGCGTTCTATCAAATTCCTCATGTTTTCCCCGTCAGCAGACTACGCTACGTTGTTTATTTGTTTAAATTAAACTGTTAGATGTCAGTTCAGCTGAGTGTTCTGCTCAAAATCTGTTATTTAATGTGTGCTTTCTTATCATAAAGATAGAAGATCTGGCCATAATTCACTTGGTTTGACTCTACAGAATACAGGCCCGTTTCCAAAAAATGTTTTGTTATTATTTATACAGTGTCCCTTTTTTGGAAACGGCGTTGTAATAAAATCCGACAATATTCATGCCAGAATGTGAACATGCATCATTTATCTTTAATTTATTATTATTATTATTATTAAGTGACCCTTATTAGTCCCACAATGGGGAAATTTCACCTCCGCATTTTAACCCGTCTGTGTAGTGAAACACCACATACGCACTAGTGAACACACACACTAGGGGGCAGTGAGCACACTTGCCCGGAGCGGTGGGCAGCCCTATCCACAGCGCCCGGGGAGCAGTTGGGGGTTAGGTGTCTTGTTCAAGGGCACTTCAGTCACGGGGATTGAACCGGCGACGTTCCGGTCACAGGGCTGGTTCCCTAACCTCCAGCCCACGTTGAAAATATCATTATATAATTTCAGCACATTACAGTGCGCATTCAGAAAGACCTGCAGTATAAGAGCAATGCTGAGTCTGTGTTTGTCTCCTGCAGGGAAACAGAGAAGAAGCAGATAACCCTAATACAGGGATTGGGGCTTTTCGCTTCATGCTGGAGTCCAACAAAGGCAAATCCATGCTGGAGTTCCAGGTAAGAGGTTTGAGGATCTGACACTGCAGTATCACTACAAAGTCTCCATCTGATCTCGGCTTCCAAACACACAACTGAAAGTGTGTTTCCAGTGTACAGTATTTACTGTCAGTCAATAAAAACCTTTATTCCTCTGAGCTCATTTAAACAAATATCCACATTTATAGGTCCTAAATCTGCTCTGTAGCACTGTATTTATTATTATACAGTAATGATAACGGTAATACAATAAGTTTAGTAATTATTAAATAGTAACTGTTACACAGTATCAACTACTATACAGAAACTATTAATATACAATATTGTAGTAATTACAGTAACTATAACTACTTTTAAAGATTAACTCTTTTTACAATATATACAGTAACCACAGTAACGTATATTGTAACTATAGTATTGTTATACAGTAGCTATAGTATTTATTTTATAGCATCTATAGCAACTATTGTACAGTAAATATAGCAACTATTATACAAAAACTATAATTACTGTTATACAAAAACTGTAGTTACAATTATATAATTACTATTATACAATAACTATAATACAGTATTACTGTATAAAACAACTGTATTAACTATTGTGCTGTAACTATAGTAACTATTACTTAGTAACTGCAGCTGCTGTTATACAGTAACTATTAATTATTAGACAATAACTGTAGGTGCTGTCATACAGTAACGATTATATAGTATAGTTACTATTATACAGTAACAATAATAGCTAGTATTATGAAGTAACTATAGGTGCTATTATAAATTAACTCTAGTTATTAATACACAATTTTAATACACTACAGTTGTGACTATAGTACCTATAATAACTATTATATACTGTTAGTAACTATGGTAACATTATACAGTAACTTCAAAAACTGTATAATAACAATATTAACTGTGTAAATGATGCTTTTTTCTCAGGAGCTGATGACTGTTTTCCAGCTGCTGCACTGGAATGGAAGTCTTAAAGCCATGAGAGAGAGGCAGTGCTCTCGCCAGGTCAAATTCAATGTTCTACACACACACACACACACTTTTATTTGCTCCACCTACCTTGTATCTACACTCATCAGCCATTTCATCTCCATGCACTTTGAAGGCTGGCTAACAAACTGTGCATAAACAGATGGTCTACAGTCTCTAACTGTACACCAGCAAAGGAGGGGTTTCTGATAAAGTGGCCAGTCTCACTGATCCAGCAGCTCTTATGTTTTATTTTTTCCTCTGTGAAGGAGGTGCTGGCCCATTACTCCCACCGAGCGCTGGACGATGACATGCGGACGCAGATGGCGGCGGACTGGGTGAGCAGAGAGCACAGCGTTTCCGGAACGATCAGCAGAGAGCTGGCGGCCACCGAGCGCGAGCTGGAGGAGGCCAGGCTGGCCGGACGCGAGCTTCGATTCTACAAGGAAAAGAAGGACATTCTGATAATGGCCTTAGGGCAGCTTGGTGGGTCCAACACCACCACACTGCCCTGCTCATGCTGAAGAGCGAACAGCGGCGCGGGCTGTGAGTAGAATATGAAGGACATCGTAATGTGGTGAGAGACAATTCACCAAATCTCATTAACAACAATCTGGGTTTTTATATACAAACAATTCATAATCGTTAATGACATTGGATTCTAAATATTCAACAGTGACCAAAAGGTCAGATTTCCTGTGTTTGGTCAGAGATTTTTTTTCAAGAAGTTAATGAAGTAATTGTGAAGGAAACCAGTGAAGCATTTAACACATAGAAAACCTTAGAGCTCAAAGCAGCGCTGAGAAAAGTGCATTGAATTTACTTGATGCAAATGTGTACATTGGATCCACATTAGTAAAATATGTGTAAAAATAAAAATTATTGTTTTTGCTGTTGGTAAGAAGTATTAAAATTGCAGTTAATAATATTAATAATAATAATAATAGCAACACCTCAACACTATAGAGATCACCAAGTGACACCCTAGCAACCACCATGGATACATTAGCAGCTGCTGACCAACAACCTATAAATCACTTAAAATACCTTAGCAACTGTATAGCAAGACCATAGCACCTAGAATACCATAGCAACCACCAAGCAAAACTCGGGCAATAACATGGAATATCATACTGAATAGCAACTGCCTAGCAACACTTGAGGTACCATAGCAACCACCTGCAGAACCATAGCAACCACTTAGCAACAAGCTAACAACCACCCAGAAAACCACAGAAACCTACTAGCAACACCATAGCAACTGCCTAGCAACACCCTAGCTACAACCTGAGGTACAATAGCAACCGCCTGCAGAACCCACTTAGAAACCACTTAGCTAACAACCACCCAGAAAACCACAGAAACAAACTAGCAACACCATAGCCTCTGCCTAGCAACCACCTGCAGAACCACAGCAGCCACTTAGCAACAAGCTAACACCCTAGAAGCCACCTAAAATACCCCTCAAAACCACAGAAACCAGCTAGCAACACTATAGCAACTGCCTAGCAACTCCCTAGCAACCACCTGCAGAACCGTAACAAGCTAACAACCACCCAGAAAACCACAGAAACCAACTAGCAACATCATTGCAACCACCTGGAATAGCACAGCAACCACAAACAACTAAACAATAAACATAAACCAAACAACATCATAAACAGCCCATTAACCTTATTTGGTGCTATATAAACCCAATTAACTCAAAAACAGTCTACAGCTTTCACTTGTTTGAAGCTTCTGTCGTAATTGTTACTATTATTGATAAAAAGCCTGTCTTTTTGGCAGTAATTACGTCTGTGTAATATACTTTATTCATGTGGAAATTATGTACACGTTTGAATCAGTGCTCTCTTTTTCCAGTGAACGCAGTGCTGCTTTATAAATCCTGCATCAGTATTACATATTATCGTGCAGTATTGACCTCACCACTGATCTGAATGTATCGTACGCACATGCTTTATCCATGTGCACGTTTTTTTTACGTAATAGGAGGAGGGTAAGAGTTACAGATCACACTCTGGTTTGAGTTTCCTTGGCTTGTTCCCCCACACAGCTGTGAGAGATGCTCTCGTCTCGTGTTTAAGCCTTTCAGCATCTGGGATCGTTTATATCTGAGGTGTGGCTCTGCTGTCGTTCTGATCACTCAGCGCTATGCAGATTTACAGATTTCCTGCCAGTTCCACTGAACTCCACTCACATAATCCTCCTGATTGAGAAGGAAGCCTGTACTCTGTGTTCTGCGGCCAGCTATGTTTTTATTCTCGTGAAGCTGGAAGGTTTTAGCAGTTCCCTTCAGGCAATGTCATTTCAAAAGCTTGAGCGTTTCTACTCTGTTCATATCTTCTGTGTATTGATGCTTTTCTTCACATTTTTGCCTGTATTAGCTTCGCTCACCAAAGCACTGCCTTTACGTTGTATCTGCAGACATTCTGATGTGTTGTAGGGGTGGGCAATATGACATTTAATCGTTATTGTGATACATTTCATCACAATAGTCTTTTCTATTGGTATGATGTGTGTGGTCAGTACTTAACTGAACAACTGCATGGATCATACGGTTAATCAGGGGCTCCCATGCGGTGCAGCTGTCTGAGATTTCGTCTGTTTCGTGAGTTTTAATCATGAAAGAATAATCTTTATCACAATACGTCATGTCCTGTTTAAAGGGATAGTTCAGTGAAAAATTTCAACCCCCCAGTTTGCACCTTTGCCCAAATGTGGTCAGTCAGCCAGGCGTGTGTAGTGTCTGAATTTTCCTCTTTTAGTTGTGGCACTGGAGCTGTGGCTATGATTACATGCAAAGGTTTTTAGATTAAGACTGAGGTGTTTATTCTCACTCTACTCAACAATCTCCGTTTACATGCTCACTACAAGTGATCAGATCCAAAATTATGTGCATGCATAGAGAACCGCTTTGTGTAGACGTTACCATGAAAACCAGCATCACGTGAGTCCAGTCAGAGTGAGATGAGCAGCAGTGAGCAGCGCTTGTGTTTTTAATTGCTTTAAAATGATGTCAGACTCAGGAAAACGTCCTTCACATGTCCTTATTAAATAAGGCCGAGAGGAAGACGTCGTGTTCTGAGACACATAAGCTGGACGTCCGTCCCACCGCCGTCTTTTAAAGATCAGAGCATAAACTTCGTCTCCTCTGCAGACCAGTTTCTGCTCCGCCATGTTGAACGGTATAAACTTTCACTATGACGTGACGAACATGATCAGAACGGACTTAAACTTTCCGATAGGGAATGTAATCAGATACAGGCGTTTACACGGATATTATTCTTCTATTTAACGGATTATTTACAGGATTACCCACCTCGATCAGTCAGATAGAAACTGTATTCCGAATGGCCTCAATCGGACTATTCCGATTGAGGTGTGTACATGGATGTGTTCTGTTCCGATTGAGCTATTAGTCGGATTATTAACAGATTATTAAACTGCATGTAAACGTGGCTTATGAGGCTAACGTAATAGAAGTCTGTGTCACCCAAAGATATTTAGGGTAACATAGACCTTGGGGCTGTCACTATCAATTTTATGAGTAATCAAATAACTTAGCAATTATTTTGGTGGTTAATTAAGTTAGCAAAAAATAAAATTGGGTTCAGCTGAACAATAATGTACAGTGCAGAGCATTTTTTTCAAAGATTACAGAATTTTACTTTTACAGCTTTACTGCGGGGAGAAAAAAGTAAAAGTATACCTTTTTACTTCATATACATATAGCTTGTATTGATTTTGCATTGATTGTGCATCGTTATGTAGTGACCTCCTTCTGGAGCAGGTTTCGTCTCTTTCAGTGACACACTCAAAAGTGACTTAAGTGCTAAAAGCTCCCTCTTGTGGAGAATCTCTAGACTGCCAAACATGGCTTAAAACCTGTGGATACCCTGCTTACCATTCAAATTGCGGACTATTCACTAAGCCGATTAATTTTTTGAGTAATTGACTTTAATCAATAATCGGGACAGCCATAATAGACTTTTAAATACTTGTGGGCTACAGTTGCCTCATATCTTCAGCAAAGCAAACTTCAGACACCAAACATGTCTTGGCTGGTTGATTACATTTAGGGCAAATGGGGAAACCAAGGAAAGTACATTTTTTGGTGAGCTATTTCTTGAAATGTATGTAGTTCAAGCAAAATAAAGAAAAATATCATTATTCTCATAGCTTTTACGAGCCTGTGGCACTACTGGTGCATCGTATTAAACCAATAAATTCAATATCGTGATACACATTGTGTATCATGATGTTATATTTTCACCATATTGCCCACCCTTAGCTGTGTTCTCACTTAATGACTACGAGCCAGATCTGATGGATGTTTTCAAACTTGCTGATAAAGCTGAAAGCTCTTTCGGTTTGTGGGCTCCGAGCTGGAAATGCTATTGCAGATTGTGATTTTTCATGCAGATTTCAGTCAGTACAACATAAACGATTATGCAATTTCAGTAAGATTCTCAGTATTTTCCATTTAAAGCTTATATATTGATGTTTATGAATATATTGCCATCAACTGAAAGCCTTTTAGCCTTTTAGCTACCAGCATCATCTCATTTCATTTTCTCTCGTTTACATATTTTTCTTTTCCTATGTAGAACCTTTTTATAGTATTTGAATGCAATCCTTTTTTTTTTTAATCTGATTGCTGTATTTAATTCTTTTACATATGCAGTCTGGCTTTTCTGTTATTCGCCCTGCCTGGGTATCGAATGTTCAATTTCTGCTCAATGTTTACACTTTTTTTTGAGTGTCAGTTACCTGCGCTAAAGAAGAGCTTTTTTATATTTTGTGCGAAGGTCACAATACATTTTATTGACATTTTTTCCAGAATGAGTGGTGATTTTATCTGTATTAAGGAACCAGAATAGAAAGAAAACTGTGCAGAAGTGTTGATTTACCTCAGAGTGTTGGAAACTACACTATTTATAAAGATGATTCTTCAAGGGTTCTTCAGTGAAGTGAATAGTTCTATTTGGAAAAATGAGTTTTATATAGAAAGAGAAAAAAAATAAAAGCATTAGATAATAATACAGCTTATAACATTCCTGAGATCTGCACTCTCAAAAAAAAGCGATCCTTCAAGGGTTCTTCAGTAAAGAAAATGGTTATATATAGAACCATGAACACTCAAAGAACCCTTTGCATGATTAAAGGGTTCTTGTATTGTCACAGGCTTGACCTCGTAACAATAGCAGAACCCTTTTTGGTGCAGTTTAGAACTTTTGGTTCTTTACATGGTGAAAAGTTTCTTCAGATTGGTGGAGAATGTGTTGTATATGGTTCTATATAGCACCAAAAAGGATTCTGCTGTGATGTCAAGCTTGTAACAGTAGAAGAACCCATTTTGGTGCTATGTAGAGCCATATACAACACATTCTCCTTCAATCCGAAGAACCATTTCACCATGCAATGAGACAGAAACCACTCCCTTTGCTGAAAAACCCTTGAAGAACCCTCTTTTTTTTAGAAGTGTACAGTATTTGAGACTGTTATAATAAATCTAGCTCAATGTAAACATAAAAACTTCAGCAATTAGCCAACAAATTTCAAGGTGAATCACATTTTAGTTCAGCTAAGTGGAGCTGATAACTACATTTTGCTCTTTTGATGAGGAGAGAAGCTGTAAAATAAGTGTAAAATAGCAAAGATTAGCATAAATATACTTTCTAAAGCCATGGAAGTCCAGGATATTAGTCGGTTTGTGCAAAAGAATAAAACTTAAATCATTTCTGGAACTAAATGCTAACTTATCTGCCTTTAGTTGGCAGAAAAGTGTAGCTAGTTAGCATGCTAAGCATTCTGAGCGCTCAAATAAACTTCCCTGGCATGATAATATTGGCATAGATGGTCTCAGAGTTTGCAGAAATTCATATTGTAAGATATGAGTGCAGATATGGACTTTCCTGAGTTCGGCTCAAGCCTTTATTCATTCAGCAAAGCTGCAGTTGTAGCTTCATTTTCAGTGGGCTAATGCTAACAATGTTAGCCACATGCTCAGTGTCAAAACAAATGGAGGTAAAATGTGAACTTTCTCTGAGCTGGGCCTCGAAAAATGGACCTAAATAGATTTGCAGGCAAAAAAAATAACATTTTAATCTGTCAGATTGTTGAAAATCATTCCAAATATATTCATGTACAGTATAAAGTTGTGTACGGTCACTAACGTCTGCGCCTGGTTGTATAAACCACCTTAAGTTATCACTTAAGATGATCCCTAAAGGATTCCCTGCATCTCAGATCTTTAACAGGGGCCGTAATACAGAAACGTATTATCTTTAGTTCTAAGTTAAGATCTGATAAAATTTTTCACAAATTCATAATACAGAAGCCCCGTTCAGTCTCAGACACACGTTCAGCTCCGTCTCCTCATTATTCACCACCATCACTGTAATATTTCATCATCAACATTAACACACGAAGGTGATCAGAGGGGCGGTGGAGATCGAGTCTGCAGCGTCTGAGATCTTTAAAACGCAGAGTTAGAAAAGAAAATCATCTCACAGTGAAAGCAGCGTTTTACAGTAGAAATAAATGGAGCTCATTATGCTGGTAGTGAACTATGCTGCTGACTCAGCTGCCTAAAAACCATAGAAACGGACCTTAAACAGAAGTGAGGACCCTGTTGGGGTTCATCCTAAAGTTAGGACAGGATTTAGGAGGTTTAGTCTAGTTAGGATGTTTGTGTGATGCTATTTTCTTATCTGGAGTTCATGATGAGATTATGAAGTTAGGAACTGTTATTCTGGAACAGCTACTCTCCTGAATTCAGTCCTAACTGTGACTAAACAGATCAGATTTCAGAGTTGGGATGTTTCTGTAATGCGGCCCCTGTAATCCTGAATGTTTTTGTGCTGTAATTTTCTCAGATTATCGACTGTTTTGAATGGAAGTTCCACTGTTGCTGTGGAGATGGTTAGCTAGCAAGCTAACGCTTTTGTGCTAATACCTGCAGCTAAGCTCTGTCCCGTTATCAAGATTAAACACACACATTGTGTAATATTTTCATTTTAATTGTTTAATTTCTAAGTGTAGAAGTCGCCATCATCAGAAAATCAGTGTGGACGTCCTTTTCTAGTCGATTTTAAGAGTTTGCCAAGACCAAACTGTAGCGTTAGCTGCTAAAAGCAGCTAAAACAGTTTTCTTGTGCGAATCAGTCACCTTTAAAGGGCCCATATCATGGAAAACTTAGTGTTTCTCGCTGAGGAATTCATGTAATATGTAAACATTATCAACGTTTTAAACTCTGTCGTTCTCTCCTCAGTCCATAAAGTCCATATATGGAAGCTAAACTTCAAAAACAGCTTGTTCTGAATCCAACGCTTTTGTGCTAATACCTGCAGCTAAGCTCTGTCCAGTTAACAAGACAAAACACAAATTGTGTAATATTTTCATTTTAATTGTTTAATTTCTAAGTGTAGAAGTCGCCATCATTGCTCTGACGTTCATTCTGTGGAAAATCAGAGCGTGGACGTCCTTTTTTGGTCGATTTTAAGAGTTTGCCAGACCAGACTGTAGTGTTAAAACAGTTTTCTTGTGCGAATCCGTCACCTTTAAAGGGCCCATATCATGGAAAACTTAGTGTTTCTCGCTGAGGAATTTAATATGTAAACATTATCAACGTTTTAAACTCTGTCCTTCTCTCCTCAGTCCCTAAAGTCCATATATGGAAGCTAAACTTCAAAAACAGCCCGTTCTGAATCCGTTGTTTTTGTGATGTCACAAAAGCAAATGCGTTTATACCTGTTCAACCTACGGCGGTTTAGCCCCGCCCATTCACACTGAAGCTGTGAGCAGTATTTCAGCCTGGCTGGTTTTGTATTGTTTGTTTTTTTTTTTTGTTTTTTTTTGGAAGAGGAATAGTACAGGATAGCCAATGAGAACAGAGCTCATTTACATATATCAGTCTTAAAGGCACAGTAACAAAAAAAGCCTGTTTAATTATAAAAGATAAGGAGTGGTTGAAAAAAATATGAAAATGAATTTGCTGTGTAAAACTATACAAACTTTATATTAAATACACAGAAAATGGGATATACAGTCACGTGCAAAAGTTTGTGCACCCCTCATCAAATTCCATATTTGTTGGATTTTTTTCTGAGTGTAAATAAGTCACACATCCTCTACAGAGACACACTGCTGCACATTATAATACACAGTTACTGTTTATTTACTGAATTTAATATACTGGGGGAAAATAAAACAAAACGTGTCAGCAAATAGAAATTGTGCCTAAAATCTGCAGAAAAATGTGAGTGTTCTCTGTGGAGGACATCTTAACTTATTTTTCCACTTAGAAAATCAACAATACATGTAATTTAGCAGGAGTGTTTACACTTTTACAGGAGACAGTCGGCGCTTTTCTTTAAGGGTTTTCTGAAGTAAACATTTCTTAAGCTGTTCTATGTGACCCGGCGCTGGTGTTCGTTCATCTGGTGCTGTACGAGGTTCGTGTTGAGGAGATAATCCAGCAGCCATTAAAACAGAAGTGCAATCTGTAATCTCCCAAATATCACTCATACTTACTTTCATTGTAATTGCTTTTATTGTATCATATGTTTGTAAACATGAACAATCTTGTGTTTTGTTGTTATTTTGTATGCAGGTTACTTTTCTATGTTTTGGAGAATCTGTATGCGTCATGTTAGCAGTGCGTATATTACTCCTGTGCGTTTTGTGTTATGGAAACGATGTGTCCTGGCGTCTGTAGCGCCGGTGGAGTCCGGCGGTCAGCGCGCAGGTGGGGAGTGTTATTGATTTCCACAGTGAAGTAGGTGCTCTGAATGTCATTAGTGCATGTAAAGCCTTTTATACAGCATTATCTATTCAATTTGTAATACAGCAATTTTGTTTTATACAACAGTTTTATGAGTGATTATTCAATACTCACTTTGTAGATTTATATTCTTTAAATAATAAAGACTTTTTACAAAATGTTTCTGTGATGTTGTATTTTTATTGAACCCTGAGGAGTAGAGTAATCACGTTCATTTTGCTGTATTATACAAATGTAATTAACATAATGAATCACATAGTTGTGCAGTTAACTATGTTTACAGTCAGTGTATGTCCTGTATGGACAGGTGTCAGCAAAATGCAAAGGGTGCAAAAAGACTTCATGCACAACAGATTAAATCATAATGCAGCCACAATATGGCCAAAAGTATGTGGACACCCCTCCTGATTATTAAGTTCGGGTGTAAGTCTCCATAGACGAACACTGGCAGTAGAGGGTCGCACTGAAGAGCTCAGTGACTTGAAGCGTGGCACCGTCACAGGATGCCACCTCTGCCTCAAGTCAGTGAAATTTCTGCCCTGCTAGATCTGCCCGTTAACTGTGATAGGAACCAGACGTCCACCTCTAAAAGCTCCCTCACAGAAAGTTACTACATGAAATGGTTATGAATTCACTGTCTGATGACTGAGACACTGTTTTACGATACTTTTGAGAAGATTTCGGCCTTCAAATCCATTCGTGGTGGAGGAATACATGATATGCAGGGCGTTGTGAGGCAAAATAGTCCCCAAAGAAAACTTATTATTTCAGATTTTCCACTATTTTCCATCATCAACATTCCATATAAGCTCAGAAGACTCGTGTAGGTTCACTGGTGGTTCTGGATAGTAAATAAAATGTCTATATCTGTGTTGTAGTCATGGCGACCCCTAGTTCCTATCACTACCACTGTAAAGAAATCCAAACCATTTCACACCAAACCACTCTGAATCAATAACTGAATGATGTAGAATTTTTGAAAAATAAGTCAAATTTCCCTTTTAATAATGTATATAATGCAACGATAGTATAACCAAAGTTGTTAATTTGCAGGATACGGACAGAATAACAGAAACACCACATGATAAAGGACTTCAGCTGCTTAATTAAGTTAATGACAAAAGCTGCCAACGGTCAAAAAGGCCGGACAGTCAGACTGAACTGCAGGAGCGTTAAATCAGAGAAGCAGCAACAGGTTTTGAGAATTCTGGTACTGTTTAAAGTGTGTAAAGTGCCGGAAAAGTAAAGTAGTTTCATAGCAACTTTAACTGGCTTATACAGAACAGTGCAGTTAACACCAGCCAGGGTTTATTCTGGTGTTTCCATTATTTTGTCCACCGCTGTGCAACACAAAAATCATTTAACAAGATACAATCTACCCCAAAATAGCAAACCTATCGCTGATGCACAGATGGACCATCCTAACTGCACTAAAAGTGCCTTCCTAGTAGCATGATAATCAGTGGAGGATCAGACAGGTGGAATAATTTGTATTAAAAAGCACTGTAGCATGTAAACATGAGCCTTTATATCAAAGTAAAAACACTTATTCCATCAGGTTTGTCCAAACTGGCTCTTTTTATACGATTATTTATCAGTATTTCTCTGTAAATTGAGGGTTTTGGGCTCCTCTTGGCAATAAAAAGTTATTTTTGATGTAAAAAACAAGCTTCCACGCTGTTATCGATGCTCTCTTTGCTCGACAGCTGCTGTCTCTCGTTTGTCCGCTAGAGGCCGCCAAAACCAAATCCAATATAAGCAACAGAGCCGCGTTCAAGTTCTCCTGGAATTTTTAACGTTTGTTACAATCAGTTAATGATCAATCAATCAAACTGTATTTAAACAAATAAAGAGTACATTTTGAGGGTGATCCTCATTTAAAATGTGGCCAAGAGTTATACACAAACAACGGACTGAAAAGAGCAAATATAAATTATGATATTAAAAGTATAACAGTGAAAATGAATGCTATCAAAAAAGTAATAAAACAGTACAGAACACAAATAAACTTTAGGAAACTTTAAGACAAATAAAACTAACAAATCAAAACAATCAAATAAAGCTATTAGGTAGAATAAGAAAAAAGATAAAATAGAAAACAATACAAAGATAGAAAGAACAACAACAACAATAATAATACGATAAAAATATCAACTAAATGACTCCAATAATAATAAAAATAAAAAATCAACAAAGAAAACAAGTTAAAAAAAACTAATAAAAACATAAAACTAAATCTTCTAAAACAGTTGCAGAGTGGAAGTTATTAGAGATTAAATGTTTGAAAGGAGTTTTAGAGTTTCACATTTGTTATATATATATATATATATATATATATATATATATATATATATATATATATATAAAACCATATTATTTGCTGTATACGGTTCTATATAAAACCTTTTTGAAAATGGCTCTGTGTAGCACTGAAAAGGGTTCTTCTTCTACAAGCTTCACATTGTAACAGTAGCAGAACCCTTTTTGGTGATATACAGAACCACATACAACACATTCTCCATCAGTCTGAAGAACCATTTCACCATGCAAAAAGAACCATCCAGAACATTCTAAACAGAACCATTGTCTTTACCAAAGAACCCTTGAAGAACCCTCTTTTCAAAAGTGTATATAAATATTATGTACCAACTTTTAAAAAAAAGAACACAAAATGGGCGAAGAGTAAGAAAAAACGGATTGTCTGAACTGAGGTTCTCCCGCAGTGGATCCTCTGACTGACTGCCTGAGGAACTGAGGTTCTCCCGCAGTGGATCCTCTGACTGACTGTCTGAGGTTCAGAAAAACCGTTTAATGCCCTGTCTGTCAGATCTACAGAGCCTCTGCAGTGCCTGAGGTGATTTGTGGTTATTATTTTTGTTGATGGTGATTATTTTTACTAAGGTGTGGCCACAAAATATATTAATCCGCAATTTACTATATTGAGCCCACAAATTACTACATTAAGGTCACATTTTTATTATATATATATATATATATATATATATATATATATATATATATATATATATATATATATAATAAAAATATCTTGTATTGCCATTATTGTATAAAAACTTGGTCTCCTTGTGTAGAACTAACAGTGCCTCTCAGGGAGAAACCTCCCAGTTCTAGAGCGCTTGAACGCTGCTCGGTCTCGGTGCTCCGTCAGAGAATGTCGCCGCCGGAAAGCGCTTCTGCTCGGAGGCGGTTTTTGACACAGCGCCGCTGAGAAGCTAACGAGTCCAGGCGGCGCTGAGAGGTCGTTTCGGCTCGGAACAGCTCAGCGCTCTGACGGGGGAGGATGGCAGGAGACCCGTTCCGCACGGTGAGGCTCTGACTTTACTCTGTCCGGTTAAACGGTTAATCTCGGTCGGTTTGGACTGACTCAGCTCAGCTAACCGGGCGGGTTTGTCTGGCTGGCTAAGATAAGCTAAGCTAACTGCCCTGAACTGCGACCTTCCTGCCGCTCCGCTAGAGAAGCAAAGCCGGGGTCGCGCTTACCGGCAGCTGTAAACCCGCCGCTGTCTGAGGGTTTAAACTCTGCCACGAGTCGGCAGAACCTCCAGCAGAACCGACTCACAGCAGCGGCGGAGCTGATGAAGATCTGCAGAACTTTCTCATTCAGCAGCTCCGCTTCATAGTGACCGGTCACTGAGGTTCTCCAGCAGTGGATCCTCTCACTGACTGTCTGAGGAACTGAGGTTCTCCAGCAGTGGATCCTCTCACTGACTGTCTGAGGAACTGAGGTTCTCCAGCAGTGGATCCTCTCACTGACTGTCTGAGGAACTGAGGTTCTCCAGCATCGTTCCTCTGACTGACTATCTTAACTTAGGTTCTCCTGCAGTGGATCCTCTCACTAACTGCCTGAAGAACTGAGGTTCTCCTGCAGTGGATCCTCTCACTAACTGTCTGTGGAACTGAGGTTCTCCAGCAGTGGATCTTCTCACTGACTGTGAGAGGAACTGAGGTTCTCCAGCAGTGGATCCTCTGACAATTTACTATGTTGAGGCTACGACTTATTTATGCCACATTATACTATATAGAGGTCACAATTTACTATGTTGAGACCTCAAATTACTGTGTTGAGGTCACAGTTTACTATGTTGAGGCTACAGTTTGCTATACTGAGGCCACAAATTAATATACTGAGGCCACAGTTTATGAGAATCACAACTTGTGACCTCATTGTACTAACCTGTGGCCTTGATATAGTAATCTGAGGCCAAGCCTTATTCAAGCAGTGGAACCCGAGAGGAGTGTGTTATCGTGAAATACCATCACAGCCTTGATTTGGTCGCCGTAGATCATCACCGCCGTGATGTTATTGGCGATAACACACTCCTCGAGTGTTCTATTGCTTTTATACAACAGTTAAATAAATACAGTAATAAATTAATAAACTGGGCCGTGAACGCGGCGTTTAATATGTTTTAATGTTCGCAGTTCCTTCACCAAATTATAGTTCCTTAACGAGCAGCTTGTTGCTACGTCAGAGTAACGAGCTCCGCCCACTCGCTGCACAGCCGGCAGTTCGTTCTCCAGCTCCTCACACTAAACTCCCAAACTGTCATCACCACTGAGCAGCTTTTCAGTCGGCAGCTGAGACAGAAGAACAGCTAAACAACCTGGAATCAGCCAGAAATGAACCCAACACCATTCGCCAAACGTGTAGTCTGATCTTCAGAGTCTGACCAAATCAGACTGAGCCATAAAACTGCCACAATATCAAGTTCAGCTCAGTTTGGTCAGTTTTTGCCAGATCAGTATTAATGTTGTTTTGTTCCAGCCAGTCTGTAAAGCATCTTACAGCCCATTTAGTTTGGCGAATGGTGTTGGGTTCATTTCTGGCTGTTGTATAATAAAGAATAATCCCAGTGTCGCCTCAGGGGCGCCGTGCAGATCTTAAAGGTCTTTCACTGAGTTTTAATTTCCATTTCAGTTCTAAAAGCAGGTTTGGCAAGAAAGACTTTATCGGGCGATTCAGACTGAACTGAGGTGAGATGAGCGAGTGTTCAGCGTCTCCCTGTTCAAACTGCATATTTTTGTTGATTTTCTAAGGGGAAGTAGGTTAACGCATCCTCCACCGGCACGTTTCTGCTAATTTTACTGCACCATTTCTCATTATTTATTTATTTATTTATTTACTGAATTCAACATGTCGGAAAAAATAAAAGTGTGTTAAAATGTGCAGAAGTGTGTTTCTGTAGAAGACGTGTTCACTTAGTTACACTCAACAAATGTATGGAATTTGACCAGGGGAGCTTAAACTTTTGCATACAACTGTATGTTGTGTTTATGATGGAATGAACCGCAGTTTTAGTGACTGATATGTGAAATGTTACAGGCAGCAGCGTCGAGCGCTGCTATATTATTTTGACTTTTAATATACTCCTTATTATTATTAGCACAATTACAGAAATAACTTTTAGATTTAATGATGTATTATTATTATCATTATTATTACATCAATGACTTTTTTATATATATATATATAGATAGATAGATAGATAGATAGATAGATAAAATCACTGTTGTCGGAAGAAACCCTTGAATCTCCAAAATGGTAACTTTACAGGAAAAGGAAAAAACCTACTTTACTTTTAATGGAAGTCAATGGAACCAGACTTTTTTCCCAGGTCATTTTGGGTCATTTCTTTTAGTCCATTCATCATACACACAATGTAAAGAACAACAGGCATTTTCAAATTATGACAAAAATGGAGATGCAAGGTTTTCTTCAGAAAGATATACATGTGTATAAATATATATTGCTGTATATATATATAAATACATATATATAATGTATATAAAAAAGCAGAAGAAGAAGAGGCTTATTGTAAAGCACATTATGCAAATAAATGCAGCTCACAGAGGGTTAAAAGACAGAGATAAAAAAGTACATTTAAGTACATGAATATAAAAGCGGGAAAAAATTAAGAAAAATTAGGAAAAAGTTGTTGCGGTAAAAATAATAATAATAAGAAGAAGAATAAGAATAATATAAATTTTAAATACATTAAAAAAAATTAAAATAGTAATAAAATAATGACTAATTTAAAAAAAATGCTGTAGTACTAGCAATGAAAACAACAGAATCATGAAAAAACAAAGTTGGTAAAGATCTGTTTTCTGCTGCTTCAGCACTTCTGATCTTCTGAACTTTCAGTACTTTAGTCAAACCTGCATTACACAACCCTAAAGAACCATGTGGAACATTCAGAGACAGACAGTCTGTTATTTATGACGGTGCTGATCCTTTAATGTATAATTATGTATCTATTATTATTATTATTATTATTATTGTCGTCGTTATTATCGTATAAGTTGTATAAATGTTTACTGGTGATGGTGAGTCAGTGGTCAGATGGCGTCACTCAGGTGGAGGTTGAAGGCTGAGTGAAGGCCGTGACACTGAGAGCTGCTGAGCGATTAAAGCTGATTCGAGACGCTCTGTTCTCGATGCTGATGCCGTCCAAATTATCCACTCTGTGCGGCCTTGGAGTGAACACCACCCCCCCGACCCCCACCTCATCGGGGGGGCCTTGTCAAAACACGAGCCCGTGATTACCGGACGAGCTGTTTTTGTACCGGTCGGCCGCTGTTATTGTTTCTCTTGTGCACGAAGAAACTTTCCGCCCTGTTAGTTTTCCCACAATGCCCTTGAACCTCTGAGTGACATCACAAACATACAGAGTGATGCAAACTCTGAGGAGACTGAGGAGGAGAGCAGCGCTTTCCTCATAGTCTGAAAAGAGCTAATCAGATTATCAGTAACCTTTTCATGTCCAGCTGCTGTATTTAGTAAAAATATGCCACAGAACTAGTTCTGGTTGGTCTACTGAAGGGGTGTCCAAACTCTTTTGGTCTTGAAAGTGCAGTGTTTGTGGTGGGCCGAGGGCCAAAAAGACAAAATGATATACTTTAAAGAGTTTTTTTTAATGGTTTTCTTACTAAAATACTGAAAAAATACAATTTTAGAAGGAAGAAAAAAGAATTTCATAAGTTAAATACACCAATCAGGCATAACATCATGCCCACCTCCTTGTTTCTGCGCTCATTGTCCATTTTATCAGCTCCACTTACTATATAGGTGCACTTTGTAGTTCTACAGTTACAGACTGTAGTCCATCTGTTTCTCTGATACTTTGTTAGCCCCCTTTTACCCTGTTCTTCAGTGGTCAGAACCCCCATGGACCCTCACAGAGCAGGTACTATTTGGGTGGTGGATCATTCTCAGCACTGCAGTAACACTGACGTGGTGGTGGTGTGTTAGTGTGTGTTGCACTGGTGCGAGTGGATCAGACAGCAGTGCTGCTGGAGTTTTTAAACACTGTGTCCACTCACTGTCCACTCTATTAGACACTCCTACCTTGTCAGTCCACCTTGTAGAAGTAAAGTCAGAGACGATAGCTCATCTGCTGCTGCACAGTTTGTGTTGGTTTTTTGGTTGGTGGACTATTCTCAGTCCAGCAGTGACGCTGAGGTGTTTAAAAACTCCAGCAGCACTGATGTGTCTGATCCACTCAGACCAGCGCAACACACACTAACACTGTTCGGAGTATAGTATAAAATTATGTTTATTCGCTCATTGGACGGGGGGTGAGGTTAGGGTAGCTTCCTAAAAGGCGATCTCAAACTGCAGGCCGCACTTTGGGCAGCCCTGGTCCAAAGCTGACTTCACACAATGAAACTTTTGTGCAACTAGTTGCATGTTGTGAGTTGCCTGCAACATAATTTCCATGCAGTTTGGTAGCCAGACAAAGCAACTCAAAAACAATCAAAGTTTCATGCAACACATTCTGTTACCTCATTAGTTATCCAAATTAGCATCTCTTATTTTTGATGTACCCCCTCGTTCTTGCTATAAGGTCATCCGTAAGATGTAATTTAAATAATTTACATAAGAATTTATGGGGGGGGGCTGACCCAATTCAACCACACAATAACCATCTTCTGTTTTATTTTCTTGTCCATTGATCCAGTGAACGCACTCACTTGAAAGTGTGGTGTTTGACGTGATCACGTGGAGCATTAGTGCTGTTTTGATTTCTCTTGAAACTTGTTTCATGAAGTTGACACGTGTGTAACTTTTGCAGCTGGGTTTCAGGTGAGTTGCAGGACGTTTTACATGATACAGCTCACACGCAGTTTAGCTTTCTGAAGGTTTCAAGCGACCAAAGTTTCACCGTGTTAAACCAGCTTCACAGTGCCCATTTTTCCGATTACATGTAATTACTACACACAATTAAACGTGGATTTTTTGTTGCTTTATAAAAAGTGTTGCAACCGTCTATTCATTAGTCTCCTTGGGCCAGATCTGATCTCATGAGCAGAGAACACACCTGGGGACAACTTGTCAAAATAATCACTTATTTTTTCTGTTTTCTGACTTATTATGTCAAGTAATGCCTTACTTTCTCAAAATAATCATGATATGAAACTGATCACATATTTGTATTTATTATTTATTTATTCTTTTTTGTTTATTTGACAGGGAAAAGACAAACATTGTTTCATAAAATGCAGCACATGCAATGCATATAGGGCGTCTAGCTAAAGCTAATTTGCAGTCCTTTTAATTTGCAGGCTTTTAAATAAAAAAAACAAATAAACAACACAGTATATACAATAAATGCATAAAATACATAAGGCATGCATGTCCATTTGTATGATAATGTTTGAGTATATGAATAAATCTTTATTCTGTATATCAGTTAATTGGGCTGAAAAAATAATAAGCAAACAATTTCTAACTGCGGTCTCTCTGTATGTTTTCAGTTACGGCTGTGCCGGCGTCACTTGGCGCTGCTCCAGAAGTGTTCGAGTCCCATGAACCCCCGACTGCTGCTGCACAGGTCCTTCAGCTCACACAGGTAGGCCTTTAGTGGGGGGGGGGATCGGCATGTTCTGTATCTGAAGTTTGCTTCTTTAGTTTTAGCGCTGGAGCTGTGAGGCTGATGTAGCTAACAGGTAAAGGAAGCTTATACCTGAGAACGTCTATAGAGGAGAATCACCACTCTATCTTCTGGGTTTCTCAGACTCTAGAGGGCGCTAGCAAGCGAGTCCAAAGTGAATGGTTTAAGATGGAGCATTTGAGCAAAATCATAGTTTATAAATGCTTAAACATTTTTAATGTAAAATAATACATTAAATTCCTGAACACAGAGCAGCATAAAACATCTTAACACCGCTTTTACATTTTTAAGAGATTTTGAACTCGAGTTAAAGGAGTTTATAACAGCAGCTTATTTACGTTCATAAGGTCAGTGAGCACGAACAGCCAATGAGCTGCTCCGCTCACCAACCAATCAGCACTCAGTAGCAGTAATGCTAATTAGCACTCAGTAGTAATGGTGCCAATCAGTCAGCACTCAGTAGTGGTGATGCCAATCAGTCAGCTCTCAGTAGCAGTAATGTTAACCAATGAGCACTCAGTAGCAGTAATGCTGACCAATCAGCACTCAGTAGCAGTAATGCTAACCAATCAGCACTCAGTAGTAGTGATGCCAATCAATTAGCACTCAGTAGCAGTAATGTTAACCAATCAGCACTCAGTAGCAGTTATGCTAATAAATCAGCACTCAGTAGCAGTAATGCTAACCAATCAGCACTCAGTAGCAGTAATGCTAACAAATCAGCGCTCAGTAGCAGTAATGCTAACAAATCAGCGCTCAGTAGCAGTAATGTTAACCAATCAGCTCTCAGTAGCAGTTATGTTAACCAATCAGCACTCAGTAGCAGTAATGCTAACAAATCAGCGCTCAGTAGCAGTAATGCTAACAAATCAGCGTTCAGTAGCAGTAATGTTAACCAATCAGCACTCAGTAGCAGTAATGCTAACAAATCAGCGCTCAGTAGCAGTAATGCTAACAAATCAGCGTTCAGTAGCAGTAATGTTAACCGATCAGCACTCAGTAGCAGTAATGCTAACCAATCAGCACTCAGTAGCGGTAATGTTAGTGTCCTGCTGCCTAAAACCCGTTTGCTGTAGAAAAAGGAAACATACAGGTGAGTTTTCTTTGCTTTTTTAGTGAAATACATCCTTCTACTCTCTATAATTAAAGGAAGGTGATTAGAAACTATTTTAACTTTTCATTTTTAGCCGTTGAGCTCCATTCATATCCCATTCATGGAGGTCTCGCTCGCTTTTTGATATAACGAGGGAAATAGGAAGGAGCCAGATCCCCTTATTGTCGCTCTGCTCATACCCTGCCATTTAGCATGGTGCTAACTGCTTGCCTAAATCACTATGCACATTTTTGTTCCTGCAGGACCGCGAGGAGTCGCAGGCCGCTGAGGAAGCTGCTGATTGGCGTGTCGGTGGGCGTGCCGTTAGCGGTGGGGGTGCAGTACGCTGTCTCTGATCCCAAAGACCAGCGGAGGATGAGGATATTAGTGGAGGGAGTCGGGCGCTTCTGCAGGTAAAGAACGTTTTCTCTCTTACACTTTAATTTCACCACAGCCAACCAAATCAGTCAGAGCCTGGAGCAGGTACTGCAGCTGGAACCGTGGAGAACAGTTTGTCTTCACAGACAGCGCAGCAGGGGCCGGCTGCCCCAGCCGTACGTAAGTTCAGACGTAGACTTGTTATAATGGAAGTGTTTACTAAGTTCAGGTTTACGCATTACTAAATCAAAACAAGTTGCACTACATAAACTAGTTTTAATGTTTAGCTTAGTATCAATGGAAACATGATTTTTTGGTTATCTAAGCTAAAAACTAAATGCCATATGCTGTGATTTTACTTGCAGCTCTAATCATCGCTCTAGTTTTAACTCTGTATATGATGCTGTCATCCACAGCTCCAGTTTAGTGAGACACAGGAGCTGCCAAATAGTCTATATCTGTCAGTCCAGATTGGTAGAAACCATAGTTTAAAAAGTTGCGTATTTGGTTGTCTGTTGGAAATATTAAATAATAAACAGACAATGGGTGTTCGGTTTTATTTAGATTAACCTTTTCAACTCCTTGGGACCACCGGTGGTTCCAAAACACACTTCATCATATTCTTCATAACATTCATATTTCATCAGCTATGTTCAAACGGTGGGTGTCGTATGAGAGCTGTAACTGTCTTCTTTCAGATCAAATAGATGGGTAATGTAATAATGTTTAAACCCTTAAAATAAAAGAAGCTGAAAGTCGACCCATTTTTTCACAAATCTGGACGTTTAATCTGCAACAAGAAACTGACAAACACTAAAAAGTCACAAAGATCAAGTCAGCTTCTCTTTCGCCAGCTTCTTGTTTGAATTTTCCCGTTCCACCTTAAATGGTGCAGCACTTACATTCTGGTGCCTCTGGCACTGTTTAAGGTGGAACGGGAACTTGAAGCTGGTGAGTGACTTTGGTCTCATAAAAAATTTAACATTATACAAGAAACTATTCTATTTTTGAGGAAAAGTTTCCTGCTGGAGATGTGAGAAAAGTGGCTGTAGCTGAGCTAAAGCTTAAAGCAGAGCAAAGTAAGTCTGAGTTTTCATTTATATTACATTTTTTAGCCTATGCTAACACAGTAGCACATACTGAGTTTTTTTCTACTGAAAGTCGACCCATTTTTCCACAAATCTGGGCTATAATCTATAAACAGATGGCGTCTCTTCAGTGATCTGCTCTGTAAAAATTATTTTTATAAAATAATACAAAGAGCATCGAAGATTTTTGGTTTTCAGCAGTAAATTGTAAGCATATAGCAATATGTGTATCATAAAACACATTTTCTGTTCATTTTTTCTGGGGAACCTTTACAAAAAATAAATAAATAAGATACAAATTTACAGTTGTTTCATGCAGTTACTGAATAATTTGCCTTATGATTTGGTCATCTAAATTCAGTTGGACAAACCAAAATATACCCTGGTGAATAAGAGGTTAACTTGTACACAACGTTCTCTTATATACTGTATATTTTTCCATGGAATGCAAAAAGTTAGTGCAAGCTGTCCTCTTGTTTTCATCGCAGTGGGTTTTGGTTAAGGCTTAACTTAATGATTTTTGGTGCAACTGAATTTAGTAAATGGGTAGTTTAAAACTAAACTGGTGTTAAGTGAGGACTTAGTGAAGACTTTACGTACAAACTTAAGAAAAGACGTACGCAGAGCCGGAGAAACCCAGTCCAGGGCTGTGATTAGGACTGTGCGGTACGGCAGAAGTCAGCAACGTGTGGCTCCGGAGCTGCTTTTACTGTCCTGTTGTGGCTCCACAGCAGAATCAGATTAGTAGGTAAAAATAAAATAATCCTCCTTTACAGTAAAATAAAGCTCTGCTGATCGTTCAACACAGTTTAACAATAAATGGTCTTAAACTCTGGAGTTAATGTAGAACTGCTAATTCACCCTTTAACCCTGAAAATCAGCGCAGACTGCTGGTCACCATAGCAACACAGACAACAATCTTGCCTAGCTAGTAGCTAACGAAACGGCAAAGAGAGAGATTTAAGACGAACATTGATCATTTGGAGACGAATGGACTTATTTGTGTTTATAATCACTCCAGCTGGTTTCCTGATACGTTTAATCTGCAACGAGAAACTGACAAACACTAAAAAGTCACAAAGATCAAGTCAGCTTCTCTTTTGCCAGCTTCTTGTTTGAATTTTCCCATTCCACCTTAAATGGTGCAGCACTTACATTCTGGTGCCTCAGGCACCATTTAAGGTGGAACGGGAACTTGAAGCTTGTGAGTGACTTTGGTCTCATAAAAAATTTAACATTATACAAGAAACTATTCTACTTTTGAGGAAAAGTTTCCTGCTGGAGATGTGAGAAAAGTGGCTGTAGCTGAGCTAAAGCTTAAAGCAGAGCAAAGTAAGTCTGAGTTTTCATTTATATTACATTTTTTAGCCTATGCTAACACAGTAGCACATACTGAGACATATTTACGGTAAAATGGACATAAAATGTTGCGGCTTTCAAGGTGGTTTGATTTTTGTTGAAACTTTATAAAATGGCTCTTCTTAACATTTGGGTTGCGACCCCTGCAGTCGAGTGATGTAATCAGATGTCGGCGATGATTAACAAGTAAGTCTATCACAGTGTTTCAATGTATCACAATAGTGATAATTGCCATGTTTGGAAAGACAGCTGATAAAGAACTACCGAGGACTGATTTACTTTCAATTAGCTTAATAAATTTATGTGTGTGTGTGTGTGTGTATATATATATATATGCACATGTATAACATTGTATTCCCTTTTACTGTCAAAACTATTATGGAGCATTAATAAGGCTACAGTACAGTGAACTGTCACTGCTGCTGCTGTTTTCCAGAGTGTACCATACTGTCTAAGGATATTTTTCAGCATATGGAATATAATTCTTCATGTTTTTTCACTGGCATCTCTAGCTGAACACTTGAGCACCTCTGCCACAATGGAGGAACACACCTTGTGATTTTAACATGTAGAGCATGTGGGTGAGGATTTGGAACTTGTTCACTCGAGCAAGCGAGACACTTTTATGTGTGTAATTTAATGTGAAGAAACTGGACCCACACCAGGAGGAGCACATGACTGCACATGTTATAATCAGTATGTTATATATATATATATATATATATATATATATGTATGTGTGTGTGTGTGTGTGTGTGTGTGTGTGTGTGTGTGTGTGAAATAATAATTTGTATTGTAAGAAAGTCCAAAAATTTGTTTTTTTAATTTCTGCATAATTCAGTCAATAAGGAAAGTCATTCCGAGTTGTTTGGTGTAAAATAGTTGATTGTAGAGACTCAGATTTCTTCTTTAGTGGTGTTGATAGGAACCGGGGTCGACATGACTACAACACAAATATAGACATTTTATTTACTATCCAGAACCACCAGTGAACCTACACGAGTCTTCTGAGTTCATATGGAATGTTGATGATGGAAAATGGTGGAAAATCTGAAATAATAAGTTTGATTTTGGTATTTTTGCCTCACAGCTCCCTGTATGCTATTATTTTATTTTATTCACAAATTTAAGCACAAATTCATTGCATATGGAAATAGCTAATAAGTGGATAATAAATTATTCTGATTCTGTTCGGCTAATGATACTGCAAAACAAAAGCTTCATTCACTACATTACGTTTAGTATCAGTTCATACTTGCATCCTAATTCCTGTCAGCATTTGTTTATGAAAAAATTGCATGAACAAATTGGAGCGAACATCTTAGAGTAAATGTGTTTGTTACACACAGTCTACAGTAATCCAGTGAGAATCCTCATTTTAGTTATTTTTCTGCCACCAGGTCGTTATATGTCGGACTTCTGATTTCAGTAGATTACTGGTGGACCTCCAATATTGTTCTGCGCGGGATGGACGAAGTAGGTTTCAAATACTTACAGCGAAATCCAATTTACAGGTGCCCACTTTACCTCAGAAAGAATCAGTTAGCCAAGTCATGTGTGTCTGAGGTTTGCTTCTTTAGTTTAAGCACTGGAGCTGTGAGGCTAATGTAGCTAACAAGTGATGGAGATTTCTACCCCTTTTAGCTAATTAGCAACTAATGTACAGAAAATTCAGGTAAAACAGCCGATTAGCAACTAAAGTACATACCAAATTCAGGTAAAACAGCCGATTAGCAACTAAAGTACAGACCAAATTCAGGTCAAACAGCCAGTTAGCAACTAAAGTACAGACCAAATTCAGGTAAAACAGCCGATTAGCAACTAAAGTACAGACCAAATTCAGGTAAAACAGCCGATTAGCAACTAAAGTACAGACCAAATTCAGGTAAAACAGCCGATTAGCAACTAAAGTACAGACCAAATTCAGGTAAAACAGCCGATTAGCAACTAAAGTACAGACCAAATTCAGGTAAAACAGCCGATTAGCAACTAAAGTACAGAAAATTCAGGTAAAACAGCCGATTAGCAACTAAAGTACAGACCAAATTCAGGTAAAACAGCCGATTAGCAACTAAAGTACAGACCAAATTCAGGTCAAACAGCCAGTTAGCAACTAAAGTACAGACCAAATTCAGGTCAAACAGCCAGTTAGCAACTAAAGTACAGACCAAATTCAGGTCAAACAGCCGATTAGCAGCTAAAGTACAGACCAAATTCAGGTCAAACAGCCGATTAGCAACTAAAGTACAGACCAAATTCAGGTCAAACAGCCGATTAGCAACTAAAGTACAGACCAAATTCAGGTCAAATAGCGATTTAGCAACTAAAGTACAGACCAAATTCAGGTCAAACAGCCAGTTAGCAGCTAAAGTACAGACCAAATTCAGGTCAAACAGCCAATTAGCAGCTAAAGTACAGACCAAATTCAGGTCAAACAGCCGATTAGCAACTAAAGTACAGACCAAATTCAGGTCAAACAGCCGATTAGCAACTAAAGTACAGACCAAATTCAGGTCAAATAGCGATTTAGCAACTAAAGTACAGACCAAATTCAGGTCAAACAGCCAGTTAGCAGCTAAAGTACAGACCAAAATTAAGGTCAATTAGCCAATTAGCAACTAAAGTACAGACCAAATTCAGGTCAAACAGCCGATTAGCAATTAAATGCAGACAAAATTCTGGCCTTAAGATGGCTGCTACAGTTTTTAGCTATGCTAATAGTACTTGAGTCCATGTTTATAGATAACAGTGAGTCATACAGAGTCAGAAACCTCATAATCAAGTCTATTAGAGACACTGAACACCACAGGGTTTGGGCCAATGCGCTGCTTCTTCTATTGCTTGTTAGCTACATTAGCCTTGTAGTTCCACTGCTAGAACTAAAGAAGCAAACCTCAGACACCAAACATGTCGCAACTGATCGGCTGCAGTCGGGGTAAGAGGGTGAATTCTGTAAATCTGAATTTTGCTGAGTCAACCCGATCGTTTCCTCGTTAGTTTATATGATGTAATCTGTGTGTAATGTGTCATTTTCCCCAGAGCAGTGCGGAGTACGCGGCTGCCGTGTCAGCGTGTCACCAGCGGGCGGCGAGCGGCATGGTGGAAGGAGCTGTGCAGAACGGAGGGCTTTACATCAAACTGGGACAGGGCCTCTGCGCCTTCAACCACCTCCTGCCTCCAGAATACATCTGCACGCTGCAGGTCCTGGAGGACAGAGCCCTCAACAGGAGATACAAGGAGGTGAGGAGCGCAGGGTGAGGGGGTTTGACGACATTGAGTGCGTTTACATGCACTCAATAATCCGATAACTGCAGAAAATCAGATTTTGTCAGGAGTCTGATTAACGCGTTTTCATGCACTTGAGTAATCAGATAATGGGGAAACTCCAAGTTTCCATGAGTCAGACAGTAATCAGATTTCTGCTTTGCAACCAGCCAATAAACTCACAGAAGACGCGACGTAAACGTAACGTAAAACTCAAACTTCATGCTGCAGCTTTTTTTAAAAACATCGCACTACTTTGCCTGAAAATATGAACAAACAGCATCTAGAAGATGAAGAATATTTAAATCCTTTATTTCATGTTTGGTTTCAGCGCCAATTCCACAGTGTTTTGCTGCGTCTCGCAACATCCACCGTCTGATCTCGCGCAGACTGAGAAATCCGATTGAAATCAGAGTAAGAGTTCACATGCACTGAGAAATCTGATTACTGAGCTAAAATCCAGCCTCTTTATCAGATTTCTTAATTGGATTTCTAGATCGGGGCATGGTGTTTACATGACTGTTTGAATAATCGGATACCTGCAGAAATCCGATAATGATCGGATTATTGAGTGCACGTATACGCACTCATTGGCACGCCTATATTTATTACCCAGAGATCTTAACAACGAATGTGTTTACAGGCACTCAATGATCCGATCATAATGACCCAATTGGATTTCTGCGGTTATCTTATTATTTAAATGGCCATATAAACAGCACACTCTGATGTCTTAGATCGGAGTAAGGTCTAGAAATCTGATTAAGAAATCTGATAAAGAGAGCTGGATTTTAGCTCAGTAATCAGATTTTTCAGTGCATGTGAACTCTTACTCTGATTTCTTTCGTATTTCTCAGTCTGCGCAAAAATATGAGCACAAATACAACAGTCTAACAATACAAAACATTCTAAACATTCCAAATTAAAGACAGTTTGAGATGAATGCAGTTCAGTTGTTCATTTTTACACAGATTTTAGCCCCTTAGAGGTCTCGGTTGTATTGATTGACAGTTCACCTGTTGTCCTTGACTCTGATCTCTGTTCTAGGTAGACGCGTTATTCCTAGAAGACTTCGGCACCACTCCAGATAAGATGTTTAAGACGTTTGACTACGAGCCTGTCGCTGCCGCCAGTTTAGCCCAAGTCCACAAAGCAGAGCTGCATGATGGGACGCCTGTGGCTGTGAAAGTGTGTGTTTAATGTTGTGCATGTGATGTATTTGTAAATGTTATCAACCCCAATTTATCACACTAAAACGTGTGTTAAATTTTCCTCACTTTTTTAAGACCAAGAATTTGATGTAGACGATCAGCCAAGACTGGAGCTACGCAGCTAATGTAGCTAACAAGTAATGGAAGTTTCTACCGCACTGACATTTGTCCATATTTACAGAAAATAATAATAATAATAATAGACAGTGCTACGTGTTCCCCAGTCCTGTTCCTGTAGTAACGCTGCACTGCACTGTTTAACAGAGGGGAACCATAACAGCCTCCTTGATTTCAGAGAACTTAAAATGGACATGTCTGTAATTGTTTTGTTTTATTTAATAGAGTCATCATGCTTGTTGTATTTAAACTGAAAAGGGTTTAAATCCTGGACCCGAGTGGCGCAACCATCTAAGCGCTGACTCTGTTATCAGGAGATCACGAGTTCGATCTCTGGTGACGCTACAGCCGTCCGTGGCCGGGAATCCAAGAGAGCATAGTTCTCGCTCTCTGGGTGGGTAGGATGGCCCCCCGTCTACCCCATCACTCAGCACGATGCTAGCAAGCGCAGCCGTCTGTTAGCTGACGTAGCAGATCTGGCGATTAGCGTTCTCCACTGAACACATTCAGATGGTGTTATTATGTGACTGGGAGAGTCTTAACCAGTGGATGGAATTAGATACGACTAAATTGGGGAGAAAATTGGGGGTTGGGGGGGGGAGTCTTGCAATGCCAAATTGAAAATTATCCATTTTTCCTTCATAATTAGGAAGTGACATAGGAACCAATCAATCCTGTTTTGATTTACAATGGACAGGGACCAATTTAGTTAGAAAGAAACTTCTTCTAAAGGTTCTAGATACATCCCCGACTGTGAACACGAGCCGTAGCCTAAGCAGGTTTGGGTTAGTTGTTAGGAATGTTAAACAGTGGCAGCAGCTCTATGCAGGACTCTTTACTGAAAGACTAACACTGACACATACAAGCTCAGATATATGATAATGTCTTTTACAAGCTTAAGATTAAACATATAGTTTGTGTGTTTTCCAAGCTTCAAATGTTTGTTTTTAATCTAGAACAGACAAAAAGTGTTAATTTGAATTGATGTAACATAGTACTAGAAAGAATTTAGCAGAAATTATCATTATCATATCATAGAGGTGGGTCTTGGACATTTGTAGCTTGAACTGAAGGTCTAGGTCTAATATGTGTGTTAATGGTGGTTGGTCACTGCATTATAGAAAGAAGTAACCTAAAATGTGCAGGACAGGGGTTCTCCAGGACCAGGTTTGCCAGTAATCGTTATCTGTTAGCTACATTAGCCCTGTAGCTCCAGTGCAAAGCTAAAGAACAGTAAGAGGGGAAAAACTGTAAAATCAGATTGTAGTTCACTGGGACTGGAGTTATCAGTGCTGTATTTGTATTGGATTTACCTTTAACCCCGAATGACGTACTAATCCACTTTAACTTTTGAACTGTGTCCAGGTGCAGTATATCGACCTCAGGGACCGTTTTGATGGTGATATCAGAACACTAGAGGTACTGCTGGACATAATCAAGTTTATGCATCCCAGCTTTGGCTTCCGATGGGTTCTAAAGGTGTGTCTGAAGCATTGAATCATTAATATACATTACTGATCTGTTATTTCTGTTTAATTTTAAAGGACTGGAACTTGGCAGGCAGGTCTGTAAAGCTGGGCTGTAATCAGTGATCCCTTTTCTCACTGCGGGCAGTTTGGAGATAAACTAGCATAGGTCAGCATTGTGTAATGAACAGACAACTACGAGCAGCTTCCTTACTGCTTCAGGTTTATGTATTGATTTGGATTGTATTATTTCTGAGCAACTAAAGAATAAATTCTATTTTCTGGAGCCCAGACAGATCCAGCTTTGCTCCAGTTTGCTGCAGCATTCACTACTCATTGAAACATAACAGGCGTAATACTGTATTAACATATTAACATGTTAAATTGACAGCGGACAGCTTCTCTGACTTCTTTTAAATGCTGTTTATTTGCGCACTGAGCTTCTATAAGCCCATCAAACTAGCTGGGTTGATAATCAGATGTTTTAACTTATATATTTATTTCAAATAAACATTCAGCAGCACGTCAAGAGTTCATTTAAGCCCATTACACTTCTTTCAAATATATAAACATGTATAATATGCACATATAGTGAAATCATATAATAGAAGCTTGAACCTGATTAACCCATTAGTTAATTATCATGCATATAAATAGTTTGTAATAAATAATTCTCAAAATATCTCATAATTGCTTCATATTTCAGTGTGTGAATATAAACAGAGTGATTCAGCGGTTTGGTGTGAAATGGTTCAGATGTCTTTACAGTGGTGGTGATGGGAACCAGGGGTCGCCATGACTACAACACAAATATAGACATTTTATTTACTATCCAGAACCACCAGTGAACCTACACGAGTCTTCTGAGTTTATATGGAATGTTGATGATGGGAAATAGTGGAAAATCTGAAATAATAAGTTTTCTTTGGGGACTATTTTTGCCTCACAGCGCCCTGCATATTATGTATCCCTCCACCACGAATGGAGTTTTAGGCCAAAATCTTCTCAAAACTATCATAAAACAGTGTCTCAGTCATCAGGCAGTGAATTCATAACCATTTCATGTAGGAACTTTCTGTGAGGGAGCTTTTAGAGGTGGACGTCTGGTTCCTATCACCACCACTGTGAACAGTTCTGACTCAGTAAGTTTCTCTAGAACAGAGCGTTTCACACCAAACCACTCTGAACGACTCTGTTTACATCTTAACCATTAAATTATGCAGATAATTAGGATAAATCAGTGGACCTCTTCCCCTCTTAGAATTTAATGAATGTTTTAAAATGTATGTTTTTAATTTTGTTCTCTAACTGTAATTATTTTTTCTTTTTATTTATTTTTAAATTATTTTGAATTATTTTAAATAATTTGTATTATTTTTATTTGTTTCTTTGTTTTTGTTTTTAACTTTACTACTTGATTTCACTGCTATTTGTATGAACTTTTCTCTATTAATAAAGTGTTATTAATTATTATTATTATAATTATTATTATTATTAAATGAGGGAGAACAGTAACCTGTGCAAAGCATTTACAGAGTGAAGAACACTTCTCTACACACTTAAAAAAAGATGATTATTCAAGGTTCTTTGATAAAGAAAATGTTTCTATATAGAAACATGAACATTCGAAGTTAGCAGTTCCTTCATGTTCCTTTACATGATTAAAGGTTCTTTAGACTGATGGAGAATGTGCTGTAGATGGTTCTATATAGAACTTATTTGAAAAGGGTTCCATATAGCACCTGAAGGGTTACATAAAGCTTGACATTGTAACAATAGAAGAACCTTTTTTGGTGCTATATAGAACTACATACAACACATTCTCCGTCAGTCTGAATAACGCTTTGAGTATGCAAAGAAACTTTTAATCATGCAAGGGTTCTTTGAGTGTTCATGGTTCTAAATAGAACCATTTTCTTTACTAAAGAACCCTTGAAGAACCTTCATTTTTAAGTGTGTAGAGTGCCATTGTTCTTTAGGGAACAAACAAAGCTGCTGTTAATCTGACTCTGTGACAGATCTGATGTAACCGCAGAGCCAGAGGTTCTCAGAGTGCCGATATAAACCGTACAGTGCAGCTTTGCATCTTACCAGTTTTTCTGTTTCTCTCAGGACCTGAAAGGGACGTTAGCGCAAGAGCTGGATTTTGAGAATGAGGGGAGGAACTCTGAGAGATGTGCCGAGGAACTGAAGCACTTTAAATTCATCGTTGTACCCAAAGTGTTCTGGGACCAGACCAGCAAGGTACACACTGAGAACACAGTGCTTGAACATCTCCTTTAATTGAGTTCTGCAGTCACGATTAAGACCCCAACTAGCTCAGTGTTCTTGAGAAAACAAGAAAACGTTTGACAAAAAATCTAGTTTACAATCCACCCCTTATTCCAAATGCAGTCTATCAAGCGTGACATGCTTGGTGTCTGAAGTTTGTAGGTTTTTCACAATCACGCAATTAAATTCAATTACTAATTAAAAAAAGTTACTTTTTATGTTCTTGATGAGTCAACTTAGTAACTAGTTTGCAATTTAAATGATAAATAGGATATCCACAGGTCATTATAAAGCTCTGTTTAGCAGATTCTCCACTAGGGGGAGCCGTTAGTACTCAGATTGCTTTTGTGACCATCGCTGAAAGAGAGGAAACCCACACCAGCAGGATCTCACTCATGCTCATATGTTTGTAGTTACAATTCTCACGTATATGAAGTAGATGTTTGATGTTACAAATTGTGTGTATATGATGTAAAGGTGTATATAAGCTCATTATCTCGGCAGACAGCTAACAGGCCAGCAGCCTCCTCCAGTGATATTCAGAGCTTTTCTTAAGGATTCTGAGTAAAACTACAACATACGAAGTAAAGAATATCCCAGGTAAATGTCTGTAACAAGCTTCAAATGTCTGTTCAGGCAAAGCTGGTTTAAGTAATATTAAACCCCTCAGTTATGTTGTGAATGTTTACACAATATAAAGGACAGTGTAAAAATATTTATACATACAGTCAGTCGTATGGAAGTATTTAAACACCCCTGTTGTTTAAAATTCTGTGTTTTGTAGTTAAAACCTCCTCCACAGAGCACACTTAAATATGACATTTTTTCTGCTAATTTTAGTGCACATTTTATATTTATCTACTTAAACATATTGGAAGAATGTGAAATCTAAAATGCGCCATACGTTTTGCACAGGCCATATTTTGTTTTTTATGTTTTCTGCTTAATGTATTAAATTCAACATGTAAAAATAAAAACAGCAACTGTGCATTAAAATGTACACTTAGAAAGCTGGTTTAAGTATATATATATATATATATATATATATATATGCGTGTGTGTGCACATGTGTATGTATATATATATAGAAGCTGCTGTTGGAACAAAACCTCATATCTCCATTTTTGTCGTTTTTTAGTTTTTGACATAATTTAGATTAATTATGCGTGAATTTTATGGTGAGTGGACTAAAAGAAATGCCCCAAAATCTGGTTCTGTTGACTTACATTAAAAGTAAAGTATGTTTTTTCTTTCTCTTGTAAAGTTACCATTTTGGAGATACGAGGTTTTGTTCCTACAGCTGTGTGTGTGTGTGTGTGTGTGTGTGTGTGTGTGTGTACATATGTATGTATGTATGTATGTATATGTGTATATATATATACACACTTGGCTGACTCTCTGCTCTCTTCCCTCTGTAGAGAGTCCTCACAGCAGAGTACTGTGAAGGCTGCAAAATCAACAATGTGGAGGAGATAAAGAGGCAAGGCCTGAGTTTAAAAGATGTGAGTATTGGAATCTTTGGTGAGGAGTAACGATGCTGTTTGTTACTGTTAAATATAATCGTGCTCCTCTTTCTGCTCCTGCTGCTTCCAGACAGCAGACAAACTCATCAGAACGTTCGCAGAACAGATATTTTATACCGGCTTCATACACGCCGACCCGCATCCTGGAAATGGTAAGGAGTTTTGGAGTAATTACAGTGAGAGCATTTACAGTGAGAGCATTTACAGTGAGTATTTACAGTGAGAGTATTTACAGTGAGTATTTACAGAGAGAGCATTTACAGTGAGTTTTTACGGTGAGAGTATTTACAGTGAGAGTTTTTACAGTGAGAGCATTTACAGTGAGAGTATTTACAGCGAGAGCATTTACAGTGAGTATTTACAGTGAGAGCATTTACAGTGAGAGTATTTACAGTGAGAGTATTTACAGTGAGAGTTTTTACAGTGAGAGCATTTACAGTGAGAGTATTTACAGTGAGAGCATTTACAGTGAGAGCATTTACAGTGAGAGTATTTACAGTGAGTACAGTGAGTATTTACAGTGAGAGCATTTACAGTGAGAGCATTTACAGTGAGTATTTACAGTGAGTATTTACAGTGAGAGTATTTACAGTGAGCGAGTGATGTGGCAGACTGTTCAGTGCTGCATTAGGGAGTAAGAGGCAAACTAATATTAAAAGGCCCAAAACACAGAAAACTGTGTATATAAACATTGTTTTGAATTAATTGTGGTTGTGATGTCACAACCATGAACGGTTTAATGGTGTGTATGTAAACATGATTAAAGTTTCAAAACAAACCACTCAGTTCAGATCAGTACATTTAAACTAAGCAGCCATACTCAATTGTCATGGTTGTGATGTCACAGCCATGGACACATTTACATGACTGCCTTTCCAGACATCCGAAAGGAATGGCTGAAGATTTCATGTTCAGTATCTCAGCCCAGACTGCTTTTTTTGAATGAGGCACAATACAGGGCAGCCAATCGTAAGAGCTCATTTACATATATCAGTCTGTAAGGTGCAGGAACAAAAACAGCCTGTTTAAAGAGTAAAGAGAGGCTGGAAAATGGTCATATAGAAACGAATTACGACTGTTTTTGTTACATAAAACCACACAAATGTTACATGGACATCAGGGGCAAAATATCTGAATAAAAAGGGGGATATGGGTTCTTTAAAACACTGTTTTAAAGCTGATCTGCTCTGATTACAGTGCGCTGGTGTGCTCTGTTTCAGTGCTGGTGCGCAGGGGTCCTGATAAGAAGGCAGAGCTGGTTCTCTTAGATCACGGACTCTATGAACACCTCAGCAAAAGGTAAGAGCTGACATTTAATAAGTGCATGTATACACCGGTCAGGCATAACATTATGACCACCTCCTTGTTTCTACACTCATTGTCCATTTTATCAGCTCCACTTACTATATAGGTGCACTTTGTAGTTCTACAGTTACAGACTGTAGTCCATCTGTTTCTCTGATACTTTGTTAGCCCCCTTTTACCCTGTTCTTCAGTGGTCAGGACCCCCATGGACCCTCACAGAGCAGGTACTATTTGGGTGGTGGATCATTCTCAGCACTGCAGTAACACTGACGTGGTGGTGGTGTGTTAGTGTGTGTTGTGCTGGTACGAGTGGATCAGACACTGCAGTGCTGCTGGAGTTTTTTAACACCTTAGTGTCGCTGCTGGACTGAGAATAGTCCACCAACCAAAAATATCCAGCCAACAGCGTCCTGTGTGCAGCGTCCTGTGACCACCAATGAAGGACTAGAGGATGACCAACACAAACTATGCAGCAGCAGATGAGCTATCGTCTCTGACTTTACATCTATGAGGTGGACTGACGAGGCAGGAGTGTCTAGTAGAGTGGACAGTGAGTGGACACAGTGTTTAAAAACTCCAGCAGCACTGCTGTGTCTGTAGAACTACAAAGTGCACTTATATAGTAAGTGGAGCTGATAAAATGGACAATGAGTGTAGAAACAAGGAGGTGGTCATAATGTTATGCCTGACCGGTGTAGATAGTGAGTAATGTATCATACATAAGTAAAGATTTCTGTGGTCGTTTATCAGAGTGGATCTTTTTTTTCCTCTAAAAAGTGACAGAGTGGCGCTGTGCCAGCTGTGGCGTTCTATAGTCCTTCGAGACGAAGCTGGCATGAAGAGATACTCGAATGACCTCGGGGTCACAGGTTAGCCTCACTCACTTGAGCTCAATAATGTTCATTAGTGCATTAATTAGAAACTACTAATTATGCTCTACTGACAGTGGAAGTGATAGTTCGGCAAAAAATCTAATGCATCATTTCAGTGCTGTGCTAAAAGTAGTTTTAGCTGAAATAATTGCGATCAGGAGATGTAATTCTAAGTCACATCTTAAATATTGAGAGTAGCTGCTTATAGAATGTTAAACTGAGCTGAAATGTTAATTGCGTATAAATACACACTAAGAATAACATTGAACTCACCTGGTTTGATATTAGTAAACATCCACAGCAGGTTAATTTATTGGAGGGTCGTTTTTATGCAATGTTTTATCTTTGAAATGTAATTTGTCACTTTTCACAATAATTTTCCAAACTGTAGATTTCTAGCAATTTATTTATTAACACAAAACTAGTTGATTGTAAGTAAAATATTATTCTTGGTGTTGTATTTGTACCCAGTTCATATTTCAGCTCAGTTCAGTGATACATTAAGCAGTTTTAGGCAGTCAGTATTTAAGATGTGATTTAAAACCTGCTGGACAAAATTTTTGTTGAAATTTTGGATTTAAATGGAAATCCTTGACGTGACCTGAGTGCGTTGGACAGCTAACAAGTAATGGAAGCTTGTACACCACCAATTAGCATGGTGCTAACTGCACGCCTAAATCATCACACACCTGTCAGTTGTTCAGGATCTCTAATAGGCTTGATTATGTGGTTTCTGACAGTGTATGATAAGCTGTTATCTATAAACATAAAATACCTTATCTATGAACTAAAGTACATCAGCATAGCTAAAACCATTAGCTGGCACCTGAGTTTTGTCTGTACTTTTTTCCATTTTTATCATTCATGGTTTGCCATATGTGAATATTTAGCCATGAATATTTGCAGAGATGTTATAAAGGAGGAGGAGACAAAATGGCCGTGGAGATTTGCGCAAGGAGAGTAGCAAGAACAACCTGACAAAACACGTTTTTTGTCCGTTATGAAGCCAAACGCTACAAATTATTTATGAGGTTTTTTGTCAGATTTTTACCGGGCAGTTCGAATGTTTTTTAAACGGTAGTTTGGCCTTCAGTTCTGAGTGTTTTGGTCTGTTGTCATTCAGAGAGAGAAGGTCTGGTCTTTTATGGCTGGGAATAACTACCTGGTGGCGTTACAAGGATGGCTGCCGAGTGATCAGACTTTCCTGTAATGATTTTGATATTTGCCCACTGATATTTTTATTGGCTTCCATTACTTGTTAGCTACATTAGCCTCGTAGCTCCGGCGCTAAAATCAAAAAAGCAGGCGTGTTTTGGGTGATGGGCTACATTTCAGTTCAAAACTGTGGATTAGATTTGTTGCTGAACTGCTGTTGTGAGACTGAGTACTGGATGAATCCTAACTGAGCCCCTGTCTGACAGATGGACTACCTGTGGTGTAGAAGTGTAGCTGTTAGCTAAGCTGAGCTGTGTGGTTTATTTCCCGCCGCTGGTTTGTCCCAGATTACTTCCTGTTCTGCGAGATGCTCCTGCAGCGGCCGATCAGCATGCGCGAGCTGACCCTGGGAAACATCCTGAGCCGAGAGGAGACGTCGTACATGCGGGACATGGCCGTCCATCACTTCGACAGCGTCATGCAGGTGCTGAAGTCTCTGCCGCGGCCCATGCTGCTGGTGTTCCGCAACATCAACACGGTCCGCTGCATCAACATCACCCTCGGAGCGCCCGTCGACCGATACTTCGTCATGGCCAAGTGGTGAGAGACCGACGCCTCAGAAAAGAGTTCTCGGCACCTCTTGTACGTTTCTTATGAACTGAAACCAAAAAATAGGCCTATATGCTTCAAACTAAACCACAGACTTGGGCTCCCGAGTGGCGCAACCGTCTAAGCGTTGGCCCTCTCATCAGGAGATCGCGAGTTCGATCCCTGGTGATGCTACAGCCGTCCGTAGCCGGGAGTCCGAGAGAGCACAATTGGCCTCGCTCTCTCTGGGTGGGTAGGATGGCCCCCCCTTCTCCCCCATCACTCAGCGCGATGCTAGTCAGCGCAGGCGTCTGGTAGTTGACGTAACAGATCTGGCGGTTGGCACTTTCCTCCGAGCGCGTTCGGCTGTCCAGTGACGTTGCGTGAGCGGCAGCTCGAAAAGAAAGCGGTGGTTTCACAGGTCTCGGAGGAAGCTTGTGTTAGCCTTCACCCTCCTAGCGTTGATAGTATCGTGTGATTGGGGGAGTCTTAACTAGCGGGGTGGAATTGGCTACGATTAAATTGGGGAGAAAATCAGGTAAAAATTAAAAAAACAAAACAAAAAAAAACACAGACTTGTTATTCTGTTGTTCTGAAGACTCAGTATTTAGTAACTACTATTCATTTTTTAGCAACTAGAATTTATTTAATATGAATTATTCAGTATCTACTATTAATTTACATTAACTGTAATAAATTATTAAATATCTACTATACATTGTTCAGTATCTACTATTATTAAATAGCTGTAATTAATTATTATGAATTATTCAGAATCTACTATGAATTTTTCATTAACTGTAATTATTTTTTTCAGTATCTACTATGAAGTATTCAGTAACTGTAATAAATTATTCACTATTTAGTATGAGTTTTTCATAACTACTATGGATTATTCAGTTTCTACAATGAAATATTCATTAACTGTAATTAAATATTCAGTATATACTATGAATTATTCATTAACTGTAATTAATTATTCAGTATCTGTTATGAATTATTCAGTAAGTACTATGAATTTCTCAGTATCTACTATGTGTTCTGTAGTAATGAAGCGAATTTGGAAAGGTTTAGCGATCAGCCTCAGGGTTACAGGAAGTGTTCGTAAGCAGCTGTCCCTGCTAAAGGCTTTTTGGGACCAGGGATTTTGTTCTGGCCTCATTTTGATTTAAAAGAACACTTACAGTTAGTTGTAAATCAGAAATCCAAATCCAAAATAAGCTTCTCGGTTCATTCAGTTTCAGAAAACACAGATACGTTCGACTGGTGTTGAACTAGTTCCGGTTCCTGTGGTGTCTGTTATACCGAGTACAGGAGAATCAGATCAGCTCTCTTCTGTTGGAGGTGATGTTTGTTGGAAGCTCGTGAACAGAGAATGATCATCATCTCTTCTGTGTGTCTCTGTGTGTCAGTGCTGTTCGAGGTTGGGGTAAAACCCGAGCGGACGATGCTGCCGTCCTGCCCTCCCTCAGGATCCTCCGCTGGGTCTGGAGCTTCTGGGAGAACCTCAAGTTTGAATGCGCTTTAAGGTAAACATGTTTAACAGAAATGTGGGATATACGCCTCTTAAGTTGCATAAAACCGAGTGCTCATTTCACTGCTTTGAATTTTTTGCACAGTACTTATTTACTGCATCAGTCGTATAATGGGAATATAGATTCCCAGCATTTGTTTATTTAGCAGTGAGCACCTTAGTACAAGGATAGCTGGGTGCACAAACACGAGTATTGTTATTTTTTAACTGTTATTACTGATATTATTGATGATATTGATAATAATTTTGGTTATTTAACTGCGAATCAGACATTTGTGTCCAAGTTTAATTTGATAAATAAAGACCATTGTGTTTAGGTTTGTCAGCTAGATCTGTTAATGTACACATTTTAAGAGATTACTACTCAAACTATAACATGTTTGATGCTGTTTTGTAAAGTAATAACCCCGATTTCAGCACATTTAACCTCTAAAGGCCAATAATTATGACCAGCATTTTAAGCACCATACAAATAAAAGTGATACTAATCAATTAAAAAAGTTAATGAATTATGTTTACAGTCAGTTTCCATTCTGTATGAGCTTCTGACTTGTTTCTGTTTCAGTGTCAAAAGAGACAAAATCATGGCAAAAATGTTAAGGATGCAAAGCGATGCAGCAAAAACTTATTAAACTCATTAAATTAAATTATTAAAGTAATTAATTATCTTCTTCCTTCCAGCACACGTGTGGTGTGGATTGAAAGTTTAGAATCTGCACTTTCCACACCGTTTCAGTGAGCAAGTCAGACATTTTTTGTATAGAATTACATCATGATTTTATTATCTTTTCAGTTTTTCATTTTAAGAAGTATTTAGTAACTAATATTATTTTTTTAGCAACTACTATTTATTTAATATGGGTTATTCAGTGCCTACTATAAATTATTCATTAACTGTAATTAATTACATAATCTACTATGAGTTATTCAGAATCTATGAATTATTCAGTGTCTACTATGAATGAATTATTCAGTATCTACTATGAATGAATTATTCAGTATCTACTATAAATGAATTATTCAGTGTCTACTATAAATGAATTATTCAGTATCTACTATGAATGAATTATTCAGTATCTACTATGAATGAATTATTCAGTGTCTACTATAAATGAATTATTCAGTATCTACTATGAATGAATTATTCAGTGTCTACTATAAATGAATTATTCAGTATCTACTATGAATGAATTATTCAGTATCAACTATAAATTAATTATTCAGTATCTACTATGAATTATTCAATATCTACTATGAATGAATTATTCAGTATCTACTATGAATGAATTATTCAGTGTCTACTATGAATGAATTATTCAGTGTCTACTATGAATGAATTATTCAGTATCAACTATAAATTAATTATTCAATATCTACTACGAATTATTCAATATCTACTATGAATGAATTATTCAGTGTCTACTATGAATGAATTATTCAATATCTACTATGAATGAATTATTCAGTGTCTACTATGAATTATTCAGTATCTACTATAATTATTCAGTATCTACTATGAATTATTCAATATCTACTATGAATGAATTATTCAGTATCTACTATAAATGAATTATTCAATATCTACTACGAATTATTCAATATCTACTATGAATGAATTATTCAGTATCTACTATAAATTAATTATTCAGTATCTACTATGAATTATTCAATATCTACTATGAATGAATTATTCAATATCTACTATGAATGAATTATTCAGTATCAAAAGTGTCAAAAATGACAAAATCATGGCAAAATGTCAGGATGCAAAGCGATGCTGCACACAGAGCAATAACTTCCTCAAATTGTTATGAAAAATCTTTTATTTATAAACACACAAACACAAGTGTGTTGTGGACTGAAAGTTCAGAATCTGTACTTTCCACACATTTTCAGTGAGCTAGACAGAAATATTTCATGGTCATAACTGTGATTGTGCTCTGCATTAACTGGTTTGTGCAGGTCAGAGATGGTGATGATGAGCCTCACTCGCTCGCTACTGCAGCTGCTCTCGTACTGCGGGGTCATCACTGTGGACCCAGACGTCTATCAGTACCTGAAATAACCCCGCGCTGCAGGTACACGCCGCTCTCTCACGGCCTGGACTCACCGAGGAGACACTACGAGGCCATGTATGGTGCAGAGTCGCAGCGCGGGAAACGCAGACGTGCAGTCGGAGGGGATTGAGAGTCACTGTGTTCACAAAAAATGATGACAACAGTAAATTCAGTTTCAGATTCAGACATTACCATGAAGACGCAGTGGGAAATGTGATTACTGGTTTTATTAGCTGCTCGTTTGAAACATGTGGCCAAATCTTTATAGTTGAGACAGCAATCAGATTTGAATTAAAACAAACTGCAACCAACTACATCAAATCAAAACTACGGCAGTGCTTCTCAGTCCCGGTCTGGGGGACCTGCACAGATAAATGCTCTCACACAGCTGGTTCAGCTTCTGGAGGTTGTTAATCACCTGATGAGTCGGGCGTGTCAGAGCGCAGAAGTGTGTAAGGTATGAGATCTCTCACACGGAGGCTGTGTCTCAAATCGACCCCTAGATCCACACATAGTAAATTATTATCTAGGGTTATAAAGTGTACTAGATTTACGGGAACGTTGGGAGACCCAGCCTTGCTGGAAGAGCTGTGAAGTCACATTTAAACATTTTAGAGATGCACTGAAGTTCTGACCACTGAAAACGGTCAAAAAATTCCTAATTTGGGGCTCCTGAGTGGCGCAACTGTCTAAGCGTTGGCGCTGCCATCAGAAGATTGCGAGTTCGATCCATGGTGATGCTGCAGCTGTCTCTGGCCGGGAGTCCAAGAGAGCACAGTTGGCCTCGCTCTCTCTGGTGGGTAGGATGGCCCCCCCTTCCTCCCCCATCACTCAGCGCGATGCTAGTCAGCGCAGGCGTCTGTTAGCTGACGAAGCTGGTGGTTAGCGTTCTCCGACGAGCGCGTTCAGCTGTCCAATGACGTTGCGTGAGCGGCAGTTTGAAAAGGAGTCGGGGGAAGGCTGTGCTAGCCTTCACCCTCTTAGCACTGGTAGTATTGTGTGACTGGGGGAGAAGATTTTGACTGGAAAAAAAACAGATTAAATACAATGAAATGTCAAAATCTAAGATTTCACACATCATTTTAAAGGAATATAGTTTATAAATGCGTTGCTTATTCCTTTAGCTTCTTACTCAGATTTTCTGTTCCACCTTAAATGCTGCAGCAGTTCATGTCTGGTGCCTGTAGTCCAGGATTTCGAGACCCCTGCTCTGAGACGTTTTGGAGACCTGCATTTACGCTTGGTTTGCCGGCTTCAGCAGACTTTGCTTGTGGGGTTTCCCCAGAATTCATAGGGAAACACACATGATGACAAAGGAAACAAGAACTATCAAAAAATGCATAAATAAAAAAAAATAATAATAATAATATCTTCTTAAGTAATTTATACACAATTCCTGAGCAAATGTGCAGTTTTGCTTGAAATGTCCACCGTGGCAGTGAGCTGAGCCGTTGTCTTCTCTCGGTAGTGTTGCAGATTTGACATGATGAGTTTAGTCTAGTGAACTTCGCAGGACTGAGGTCCAAAATCGGTGAGACTGGGGTCCTTGTAGCCTCCCACAGTTTGGAGATTTAGACTGGACAGTTGACATCACCGGCCCACTCAGACAGACAGATTAAAAGCTAAAAAAAAAAAGACCACTAACAACCAGGGCTGAACAATTTGGGGAAAACATCTAATTAAATATCTAATCTAAATTAAAGCCCAGGCTTGTTTTTTTTGGCCAAAAAGCTCAGCAAAGATTTCTAGCCAGACTGCCAGTCAGTCATGGTTGTGATGTCACAGCACATGGATGTTTGGTTGGTTCTGATTGGTCACAACTCACAACTTTCACAAGCAATGCACAAACTCTGTGTTATTAGGTTAAATTTCCCCACTGAAAACAACAATGTTGATAATATTGACTATAATAAAAATTGAGCTCTCGCAGTTTCAGAATTGCAGCCTTATAAATTGCGATTTTGATACAAAAGCAGTTAATATTATCACCTTAACAATTTCAGTACTGACTTAAACATTCAGGATGTACTTACAATGATTTGAGACACAGCCGAAGCACCATCCTCAGAAACCCAGCCAAAGTGTTCATACCTCAGCAGAGAGTTCACCCTCTCTCTCTCTTTCTGTCTCTGTCTGTCTCTCTCTCTCTCTGTGTGTCTGTCTCACTCACTCTCTCTCTGTGTCTGTCTCTGTCTCTCTCTCTCATCGTCTTAACTCTCTAAATCACATCAGGCACAGTCTGCACAAACGGTGCTGATCTTCTCTAGCAGACACGTCAGTCAGAGGTCGCACCGCAGGACCGCTCCACCATGCTGTTTATATTTCTCTGATAAAAGCTACAACTAAATATCATGAACACAATACAAACAAAATATTTTTATCACCAAATTATTTTAGAATTGTTCTAATCTGTAAGATTAAAATCTTACAAATCTGTTTAATCTGTAAGATTAAAGATGCACTTGTTACATTGTGCAGTATAATTTCATGAAAAAGTCAGACAGCACCGGCATAATTTAGCTTAAATATTATTTTGTCATACAGTTCAGTGTGTGAGATGTAATCAGAGAGATTCAGAGTGGTTTGGTGTGAAATGGTTCAGATGTCTGTACAGTGGTGGTGATAGGAACTAGGGGTCGCCATGACTACAACACAGATATAGACATTTTATTTACTATCCAGAACCACCAGTGAACCTACACGAGTCTTCTGAGTTTATATGGAATGTTGATGATGGAAAATAGTGGGAAATCTGAAATAATACGTTTTCTTTGTTTCACACCAAACCACTCTGAATGAGTCTGTTTACATCTTAACCGCTTAATCATGCAGAAATTTTGTGAAATTGGTGGAATTGCCCTTTAATCCCTGTCAGAGGAACCAAGCCAAGAACCAAGATCTCTGATGATGATCTTTTTCGTTTTTCACCACTGCATTCGAAACAAAGATGTTTGGAAACAGAAACATCATAGTATAGTTTCCACGGTAACCTCATTTTGTCAATATTGCGGTTTACCAAAAAAATGTGGGCATGTTTTCTTAAGATTTCGCAGATTGGGTTTAAACTGATGTGAAATAGTGCTTAAGCTCTCTATAATTCCATGTAGTTATTTTAGGGAATGTTATTGATCTTATAATGCAAATATTATAGAAGCAATTCATGTATTATATTTAATACAATGTCATTATTCCACGGTGCAGTTTGTGTAATGAAGTGAATGTGAAGAGAGTTTTAAAATATGCATATTTAATAGACCTGAAGCTGTGCTTTAACACCGACTGTGCTGGTTTTTATGTGTATGGATCGACTGATTGTTATGGTGAATGGAGGCTATTGAGGGTTTTACTGTACCTGGATTGTTTTTAATTCTTAATTTAATATTAAAGAAATATCCATTTTTAAAGCATATTATTGACCTTTTTGTACCATCATGTATTGTTTTTCCTCTTAAGTTTCTCCTACAGATGAAAAACATTTTTGAAAATAAATCTTAGTTTAGTCCTAGTTTGCTTCGGTACCTACATTTAACAAATGTCAACACAAATATTCAGTTTAAATTATGAAAACTTTTTATTTGCCATACAAAATGTTCTAATTCCTATGGAACATGATACTGTAACGCTATCAACACAAAACATTTCCAAAGAAAAAAAAAAAGGGGAATTAAAACATTCAGTCTGTATAACAGAAGAGCGCTGGTGGTCGTGAGCTGGTGAGGTCGTGAAGAGTGAGCAGGGTTCTCAGAAATGAGCGGTGACTCTGTCGATCTCCAGCAGATCCTCCAAAATCTGTAATTAAGAAGAAGACTCACTCTCTGCTCTCCACACCGTGAGCTAATATCAGAGCACTGTGTCCAACACGCGGCCTTCCAGCTCCTATTACTAAAACTGGCCATTGGGTCTTACTGCTCCACTAGTGTTGTTAAAGCGATGGTTAAAATGAATACATACATTTTACACAGTTCACCCCTTTGACTCCAAATGTAGCTGATCAACCAAGACATGTTTTGTTTTACACTGGAGCTATGAGGTTAATGTTGGTACCAAGTCTGAAATCAATGTTTTCGATAATATAAAAGTTGTACGGCGGCACATAAACATAGAAATTATTCTAATATAACTGTCCAGCAGCTTCACACGTAAGGAAGCTGTAAAATTAGATGAGGGATGGATGGATGGATAGGATGGAATGGATAGATTGATTGGATGGATGGATGGATAGATGGATGGATGGGCAGGTTGGATGGATGAATGGATGGATGGATGGATGGCTAGAATGGATGGATGAATGGGATGGATGGATGGAGAGACAGACTGAATGGATGGATGGATTGATTGAGAGATGGATAGACTGGACAGATGGATGGAAAGATACATTGGATGGATTGATGGATGGATGGATTGATGGATTGAATGATAGATGGGATGAAGGGATGGATTGATGGACAGATGGATGGATGGGATAGAGGGATGGATTTATGGATGAATTGGATGGAGGGATGGATGGATGGAAAGACTGGATGGATGGGATGGATTGAGGGATGGATGGGATGGAGGGATGGATTGATGGAATGATAGATGGGGTGAAGGGATGGATTGATGGATAGACAGATGGGATGGATTGATGGATTGATTAAGGGATGGATGGGATAGAGGGATGGATTGATGGATGAATTGGAGGGATGGATGGATGGATAGATTGGATGGATGGAAAGATTGGATGGAGAGATGGATGGATGGATGGATGGGATGGAGAGATGGATGGATGGATGGGATGGAGGGATGGATGGATGGGATGGAGGGATGGATGGATGGCTTGTATATAAACGAACACAGATTATTAATGTGAGAAGTGATTCCAAAGCTTTAACTGATTATCATGATGCTAACTGCATGACTGAATCACTCCCATTCACAGACTGTGTGGAGTTATAATCTTTCACAGACCTGATTCTGTGCTTTCTGTCACTGTACGACTCACTGTTACCTATAAACATGAATTAATGTACATTAGCATAGCTGAACGCAGCAGCTGCCCCTGGACGCCTGCACGATATCTGAGGTAACGAAAAAAACTGAATTTTCTCTGGACTTTCACTTTAAACCCAAACTTTCCTGAGGTTCTCTCTGAGCTGGGGTTCTGGAGCCGAGAGCAGGACAGTACTCACGATGTCGGAGGTGGTGCCGATCTTCTTGGCCAGTTCGCTTCGCTCCATGGTGCTCAGGTAGAGGTATTTATTCAGCAGTTCTCCGTCCAGAATATTTCGCACTGCGTTCTGCAGCGTCCGCCGGTCAGTGTGCAGCATTCTGAACGACAGACAACACGGATGGAGGAGCTCAACATGGTAAACGGGAACTCAACACACAATAAAGTAACAGAAAAATAACAGAATAAAGTCGTAATATTTCGAGAAAAAAAGTTGTAATATTTGGGGGATAAAGTGGGCTGCTGTACTGTAGGGGGGCTGCCATAACGCGTTGGGTCTCGGTTGCTGTACTGTAGGGGGGCTGCCATAACGCATTGGGGTCTCGGTTGCTGTACTGTAGGGGGGCTGCCATAACGCGTTGGGGTCTCGGTTGCTGTACTGTAGGGGGGCTGCCATAACGCGTTGGGGTCTTGGTTGCTGTACTGTAGGGGGGCTGCCATAACACGTTGGGGTCTCGGTTGCTGTACTGTAGGGGGGCTGCCATAATGCGTTGGGGGTCTCGGTTGCTGTACTGTAGGGGGGCTGCCATAATGCGTTGGGGGTCTCAGTTGCTGTACTGTAGGGCGGCTGCCATAACGCGTTGGGGTCTGGGTTGCTGTACTGTAGGGGGGCTGCCATAACGCGTTGGGGTCTCGGTTGCTGTCCTGGCGCCGGAGCTCCACTCTCTCCTGTCTCTCTGTGGATCACTTTGATCATCATTCTCACTGTCTGTGAAACTTCATGCCCTCTTTGAATGGGGGGAGATGTAGCCCCCGATAGCCGTGTAGACGACCCTGCCTGAGATTCTCCTTCAACAACACAGACAGACAGTTTCCTCCGAGTCCGTCTGGCTCTTTATTCTAGATAAACACAGTTTCCTGCTCAGCCGTTTCAGCCGGTTCTTATACTAATAACAGGCTGGTGCTGATGAGCAGGAGAGACAGGGAGACTGAGTGTTTCTTTATGGGTGAATCGATATGAAAGTAGAACTCCACCAACTCAGCGGCCCTCATTTAACACCAGGAGGCACTGCTTCACTTCGCAAAGCCTTTGGCTACAATATTGCGACCTTTCCTGGCATTAACACCACTTTAATGTCATAATTCTACGACTTTTTCTCTCCAAATATTACGACTTTTTTCTCAAAATCAGACTGTACGACTTTTTTCTCGAGATATTGTGACTTTTTTCTCAAAATATAACAACTTTTTTCTTGATATATATTCTCCCTGGGTACCTGAAGGCTTTGGGGTTGAGGCCAGCGTGGTGCGGCAGCATGGTGGTCAGAGCGTTCTGTAACATCAGCAGCCTGCGGTATGTCTTCTCCTGCATGGGCAACAGCAGACCAACCCCTCCATCCAGAGTGGCTGCATGAGAAACAGAGGAGGAACAACCACTGAGAACCGCTGGTTCATTCGCTACATACTAAATACATCCTTAATGGACAAACAAATGTGTCAACATACACATCTGATCGTATTATATGTTCTGTATACTCAGAAATTAGTGCTAAATTGTCAAGTATGTGTGATGCGTCTGTTTAATGTACGCAGACTAACATCGCTCTGCTTTAAGCTTTAGCTCAGCTATAGCTGCTTTTCTCGCATCTCCAGCAGGAAACTTTTCCACAAAAGCAGAACAGTTTCTTGTAAAATGTGTCTCAATGTTCGACTTTACGAACCGCTTCTCATTCACCAGATTCTTGTTCTAATTTTCCTGTTCCACCTTAAATGGTGCCTGAGGCGCCAGAATGTAACTGCTCCACCATTTAAGGTGGAACGGGAAAATTCAAACAAGAATCTGGTGAATGAGAAACGACTTCAGCTTTGCCACTTTTTAGTGTTTGTCAGTTTCTCGCTGCAGATTAAACGTATCAGGAAACCAGCTGGAGTGATTATAAACACAAATAAGTCCATTCGTCTCCAAATGAAAAGTTTGTCTTAAATCTCTCTCTTTGCCGTTTCATTAGCTACTAGCTAGACTGTTGTCTGCGTTGCTATGGCGACCAGCAGTCTGTGCTGATCTTCAGGGTTAAAGGGTGAATTAGCAGTTCTACATTAACTCCAGAGTTTAAGATCATTTATTGTTAAACTGTGTTGAACGATCAGCAGAGCTTTATTTTACTGTAAAGGAGGATTATTTTATTTTTACCTACAAATCTGATTCTGCTGTGGAGCCACAACAGGACAGTAAAAGAATCTTTGAAATCACTGAATCTTTTAAACCTTTATTATTCAGTGTTCAGCTGCTGCTACTCTGCTTGCTTCTGTGTGTTTGCATGTGTTTGTTATTAACCCACCGAACCAGGTGATGTGTTTATTGTCCCAGGTGAGAGCCTTCTTGCTGCTGGGGTCCAGAATCCCCCGGCAGGGCATCCTCCAGAACGTGTTCACATGGGTCCCAACGTTAAAGTCTGCCCTCCGCAGCAAACGCATCCCACCAAAACTCTCCTTAGCTACAAACAGCAGAGCACAAAGACACAAAGCACACAGTCAGAATCATGACGGTTCACTGATTCACAGGAAAACAGCTGAGATTTTTCTGAGTTAAACCCACCATACCTTCAGGGAGGTACATGTAGACCAGCAGGTTTTTGTCTCGGTCAGAAACTGAATGAAAACAAAAACAGGTATTCAGGGATACTGTTAATGGTCGACACACATTTTCATTATTTATAAACAACTAAGTTACAAATAAAATAATTAATTATGATAAACTGCCTTAGTTTGTCTAGTAAATCTTGATTAATCACATTCACATATGCTCTAATTCGGTCCATTGTGTATTTGAGTGGACAAGATAATCTTCATCATAATATATTTATCACCTCATTAAATATAAAATCATGTGAATGCAGGAGGAACATGAAAATAAGGTGATCGCAATTCTTATATTTATTTACAGATCTATGTTTATGTTCTGATCCATGTAAACTCAAGGCATTAATAGAGGTAGTAATAAGCTAAATATACACCGATCAGTTACAAGTTACTTACCCAGAAAGCCAAGCTGGTTGTTGTCCACCATAAACTCTATACTGTAAACCTCCAGTGATCTCGCATCCTGTTGAGAAAGACCAAAACATTCACCTGCTTCAACGAAACTGGGTAAATAACCTGAAGGAATTTGGCTTGAAGCTTCATATGTTGTAAACTACAAATGAGAATAAGGCTAATACTCTTAAAAAGAGGGTTCTTCAAGAGTTCTTTAGTCACGAAAATGG